GTTTCCTGACTTCCAGAGTTATTTGCAGGTTGCTTGCGTGAAGACTACCAGGCATAGTTGTCGCACTGCCACCATAACGCGATAACAGGTTCTGCTTCCCCAAGGCGGCATCGTCCAAGGTCAAGTAGATATCCGAACGCGGTCTCGTGGGGGCGCCAGAGAAGCCCATCTTGCTCGTCTTAACCACACCTGAGAGCATGGTTGGTGTCGCCTTAATGAGAATATCTGCGTCGGGATGGTTGAAGCTCTTTAGTTGAAGCTGTAATCGCTCTCCCCTTCGTGACTTTTCGTAGTGTCCCGATGAGCTATCCAACAGGTCCTTTACCAGTGGCTCCCAGTCATCGGCGTCCTTTTCGCCTGCATGTCTGGCTGATGCCGACCAGATATTCACCAGATGTTCAACCTCTTCATCCTGCTTCATGATCGCATTCAGCCGTAAAACACCCACGCCAATGGCACGGTCCGCCATTTGTGCACCTTCTGGTAAAGCACCAGTCTTGGAACCAGAAGTGCTTGGTGGACCATCCCGACTGTCACCGGTTGTTGAAGGCCGTCCCTCCTGCTCAGCAACCGAGTCCATGCGTGTCGCAGGGGAGCCCCTTGAGAAGCCAGATCTTGAGTTCTTGCCACCCCACATGAGACTTCTTCTAGAAGACTTCATCCCGCTGGAAGAATTTGGCTTCATCGGATCCCTGGAGTAGGAGGCTGAAGGAGCGGTTCCCGATCGAGAGGGCGGCTTGGCTGGTAGGATCTGCTGCGAGGCTAATACCTTGACGACGAGGAACAGCTCTGATTCTGCGGAAGGTAGATCGCCGACGTCCTGGGATGAGAGATCGGTAAAGAGGGTCTTGGTTTGGGCGTTCTTAGCCAAGCTACCAATGGTGCCGCCTGAGGGGATTGTGACACAGAAGCCTTCGGATAGGCTGAAGGGTTCGCCGTATTGAGGTTTGCTGACGAGGTAGAAAACAAGAGATGTCTCGTCGGTCGAAGCTCCCGCGAAGCCCTTAATATCTACCAAGAGATGGTGAAGAGCAGACAATTCGACTGTCGATTGCGGAGGCTCGTCCAAAAGGCTCATGACGGACTGTAGCTTGGTCACCTTGACGATGCAGTCATCGGCCGTCAAGACCCTGCCACGAGCTTCTGGATCGCGCACAATGACCTCTCCTCCACATAGTTTATTCACCCTCACAAGATCCCAGACAGTCTTTTCGCGTAGGCGGTCATATTCGTGTGAAGTAAGGACGTTGTAGAGGAATTGTTGGCGGTGCAGGTTGAGTGTGGTGATGAGCTGGGAGAGCTGGTCTAATCGTCCATACTGTCTAGAGAGAAGCAACTCGTGCAGGTTTGTAGAGTGCCATTCCCTTAGACATGAGGCGATCTCGTCAATCAAGGGTTCGGACAGCGAAGTCGGCGTTTCGTCTCCAATCTTCAGCATGGGAACTGGTGCAGCAGGTCGCGGCGCGTCGGGGTCTCTCCTGATAGGCACAGATAGGTTTCCCAGGGTTCCGTTAGGGAGCTCCCTGAAGGGTGTTCTCGCTCTGCTCGAGGTGGTCGAACGGTCTGCATCCTTTCGTCTCTTGCGCTCTGCTACACTAGTCACGCCGCTTTTAGCAGAGTCGCTCGCGCGTGGCACATCTACATCGCCGAGGGCGCCATCGCTCGCTAGGTCGTCGATTTCGTCGCCATCCTCTGACTCGCCAAGCATCTCACGAACCTCGACGCAGCTCCGGGGGAAGATGCCGCTGAAGACGCGCGCCTCGAGGGTCTGGCCCTTGACTGAGGTCAGGCCGGCCAGCAGACTGGGAGGAGCTACGAGGTAGCCGCGCAACCAGTTGCCGTCCGGGGTCTCTTCGATGATGTAGAGCTCATCGCCAATCTCGAGGGGGAGGTCGGCCGGGCTGGATGCCGGGAACGGGTAGGTCGCAACGGCGAACGCGATGCGGGGGAGAGGCTGCCAGGGCATTGAAGATCACACGAGGTCGGACCAGGTCGAGGAGGATGTTTCTGGAGATGGAGATGAGTTGGCGGGCCGCCGCAGCTGGGCGTGGCCGAGGGTCGCAGCTGGGGGTCGGCAACGGCGAGAGGTACGGGGGGTTCTGGACGAGTCGGGAGGGAGGAGGCGGGCGGGTGGTGCGAGACTGTGGTGTTTGTAGATTCGCAGGATGCATCAAGAGATCATCTCAAGGCTCTCGGCGTAGCGATGGGAGCTGGTGGAGAGGGGCCCCGTCAACCAATTGCGGGCTCATGGATGGTGATTCCCGCAGCGCCAGCACAGGATTGAGGGTGCACGGAGGTGGATGTGGATATCGGATTCGATCTTGAATTCGGGACCTCGAAGAAGGATGTTGAGTCGTTGTTGCCAGAAATCCAAAAGGCGCTGTTTGGCTGCAGCTGGCAACCGGTTCAAATTCAACCCCCTGAGTACAAACGCGAAATAGCTGCGGGCTGGCTGGTTCCAGTTGACAAGGGTTCGAGATCGAGGGGTGGCCTCAGCCTTTTTCTGAGAGAGGGAGGGGGGTTGACGCCGGTTCGGGGGTGGCTGGACACGGCGAGGGTGAAGGACGGGAGCGAGCGAGCGAGCGAGAGTAATTGATGAAGAGGTTACCTAGATAGGTAGAATACTGGCGCCTCGGAAATGGGATTGGATAATGAAGAGATTTCTTGATTGCCGGGCCAGGGTTTGACGTCTACAATCTCCCATCCACAAGGTTTCCAATACAAGTCGGAGGGGAGCCTGAAGGGGACCATAGGGAATGCTCCATCTTCTAATACAGAATAATTGCTTTTTTAGCTTTCCTGGCCCCGGGTTTGGGCTTCACTGGCCCAATCCGATACCACCCACCGCGCGGTACGTGGGATGGCATGGGCGTGGATCGACAAGTCGACTACGGCGTCTTGGGTTTAGAGGCTACCGTCCCCCTGGGGCCCTGCACTCCATCACTGCACGCGCCTCTGGACCTGCTGCAGCGCGACGCACAGGCTCAGGCACAGGCACAGGCACACAAAGCTTGCGCTGTGCAAGTCGACCGCTCAAACGGCCACGGCAACTTAAACCGTCAACCTGAGATCCAACTCGAACACATACGCGGAATGGATGGATACATGCCTATTGCCGCTCGGTACCACGGGCCGTGCGGGCTGTTTGATAAAGTGTCCGGTATCCGTACCAACCCAGGCATGTACTGACTGTAATACCCGCCAGTCCAAAGGAGGGAGGCTATCTCCATCTGCAGGGTTTGTATCTGATGCATCATTTCCATTCCCAACCATTGCTCATATTACAAGAAGGACTGCACATTCACTCAAGAACAATAAGCCCCCCTGGAACATTGCTATTCACCAACAACGACATTCGATCTCTCCCGCCTCCACTTTGATCGTCAACGGGAATGCCATGTCTCATGCGGCGGCTCCCGAGTGTCGCCGCCAAGTCGCCAATCGCAGGTATACCAAGTGCTCAGTGTGCGCCTCCCATAGTTTCGAATATACTTTATCGAGGTATCGAGTGCCTGGTCCCCCTCTAGGATAGACGCGGCCACCTTCTCGATAGGGCGAATTCAGGCATCACCGACAACGGAATTGGATTCCAAGCCGCTGACTCCGAGACAGCACACACAATACAGGTTCACAAAGAATTCTCTGTTTCATCCCTGCGTCAACCCTGCATCGAGCTTGACTCGGGCTGTGATGCCCCCAGGGATGATGATGATCTGGTTCCAGGTCTCCGTCTTCGTCTTCGTCTCCGTCGTGGCGGCTCGTGGAAGCGTGACACGGTGGCTGCCGCGCAACATCTCTGTTGTCGATTCTGTACTACTCCAGTGTCTGACACATGCATGCATCGCGCCGCTCGATTAGGTTAAGCTGACCAGTTGCGTTGGTTCGTCTCGTCTCGAAACACTAGGCGCTGCGTAGATCATACCGTTACAGCCCTGGTCAAGGTTTGATGTTTTCAGGTGACCGCGATTGAACTTAACATGTCCGATATCGTCAGCCTTGAAGGATGGTTTCAACGACCCAAGTAACAAGGCATCAACTCACATGTACTAAAAATACCACTGTCTGGGTAGGCAGGTAGTCATTGAACCCACGAGATAATTCCTTATCAATGCTAAACTTCCAGTGGAGATAGCCTCATATGCTACCCGAGCTACCCTATATCGTCACAACAGAGACTCACGGCAACAACCATAGAGACCTATTAATGGTAGGGACAAAAGTATACCCTGTCGGGGATTTAATTGGGGTGTTTTATATCGTATTGCTTTTCTCGGAATGTGGGAGAGCCACGGATGTTTGGCATAATAAGGTACTAACCCCTCATTGTTTAAAGCACATGTTGTTGCGCATCCAAGAAACAGCTCGACTACCTATGGAAAACGTAAACTAGAACTGACTATTCTCAGTCCGTGCTAGAGCTGGTTCTCCCCATCTCTTTCCACCAGTCAAAAACCGACCTAGTCTCAGGAACATGTCCCAAAAGCCGTCCTACTCCGCGCAAGCTCACCGACAGCTTCCTACATAGCCGCAACCCTTGTCCTTAAGAGGGGAATTCACCATAGTCCAAGAGCCGGCCAAGCTGATCCCCAGCCTGCCATCAGTCCACGGGCCGAAGCTTCGCTGTCGACTTCACCAAACCCCCCACTCCCAGTTGTTACATCGGGGCCAATGCGGCCGGTCCATAGTTCCCGATGAGGCAATCAACACCAGCAACCTCCACGCTACGGACGGGAATCTCTCACGATCCGCCAATTCCATGCTCCCATGTGCCCTCGTGTTAATTCAGGGTCCGATATGCTATACGGACCCTTAGGAGGGGATGCCGTTCTATTAAAGAGACAACTTCCCCCGACTTGAGTGCTCATCGAGACTCAGTACAGCTACCCAAAGCTCAACACAGCCCCTCAAATATTGTCTCGGATCCCAGGTAATTAACTTAACGCCTATTGTTAGGCATCGCCATGATACTTACGGATAACTGTTAGGACATAAACGGCATCATGGTTCTTGTCTCTCGACTCCTCTCCGGCCTGGCCGTGTGCGCCTCGGCTGTCTCTGGCTCTCCTGTCGAAAAGCGCAGCGTCATCGCCCATGACGCCGTTGTCGGGTTCCCAGAGACTGTCCCTTCGGGGACAGCTGGTTCGCTGTACCTCAAGTACAAGCCGTTCCTGAAGGTCTTCAACGGCTGTGTTCCCTTCCCAGCCGTCGACGCCAGTGGTAACACCGGGTATGTCGCGAATACATCTGGACTTGGTGACTGAAGCTGACCCGACTTCTAGCGGAGGATTGGCAACCAGTGGTTCTTCCAACGGAGGCTGCAGCTCGAGCACCGGCCAGGTCTACGTCCGTGGCAAGACCTACAACGGTCGTTATGCCATCATGTACTCCTGGTACATGCCCAAGGATTCGCCATCGACTGGCCTGGGACACCGTCACGACTGGGAGAACATTGTCATCTGGCTCTCGAGCCAGAGCACCACTGCCAGCGTTGTTGGCATGTCCGTTTCCCAGCACAGCGGATACGAGGCCCGAACTTCAGGCACCTTCTCGGGCAACAGCCCCCTCGCGGGCTATACTGCCTCCTGGCCCGTCAACCACCACATCGTCTTCACCAGCGAAAAGGGTGGCCAGCAGCCCCTGGTGGCCTGGGAGAGCCTCACTGATGCTGCCCGCACTGCGCTGACCAACACGGATTTCGGTGACGCCAATGTGCCCTTCAAGGATGCCAACTTTGACAATAACTTGGGTAAGGCTGCCGTCTAAGTTTCAGCCTCATTTGCGTGCGTGGTGTGAGATGACGAACGGCCCCTGAGGAAATGGGTCGAGGGTGCGGGTTCTCTACCCCAAGAGACTCCCTGCCCTCCCATAGCCGAAAGGAGATAGAAATACATTAGAGTTCTGAACTCGAACGATGCTGTTCTATTTGCCAGAAGAATGCAGCCAATAGAAGGCCTCTGTGATCTGTCGACGCGGACACGAATTTGGTATCAGTGCTCACCAACTCAACTGGCCTATGATTGGGGTGGACCCTTGACTTGAAGTGTTTACATACATGTGGGCCAAGTCATGGATGTTTGGACCCAATGTGAAGCAAGGGCTTTGTTGGTCGACCTCATCGCAGGTCCACAACTCGGAATATTTGGGCCTGCTACTGCTGCGGTCCTATGTAGTACAGGCATCCATTGGGAGATAGAATACTCCGGCCAAGGACACCGAGTTGATAGACCCTTGAGCCTTAGCCAATCGATAAGGCACGCTGCCTATCATCGGGATTGCATTAGCTCTCAGGGTCCATATCTCTTGTAACCACGGCTTTCACTTGTTGCCCCACGCCACGAACTGACATCATTGTTGCCTTCAAAAACGAGTGCGATACGATATGTTACAGAGCCGCATGTTTTGCGGACGCAGATCTAGGATTCCTTGTCCTCTGTGCCCTTCTTTCCTATTCTTTTCTCGTCATCTCACCCAAGGCTTCGTTGAGGTCCTTGCCCTTTTGGGCTTTGGATCCAGTCGATCCAAAACCGGCTCTCTCTTGCCAGGCAAAATTTCCAGGGAACCTGTTCCTTCCATCAACTAATATAGCTCCCTTAAAACTCACCTCCCACGCCCAAGACCCGGCCTTTGCAATTTTCGTCTCTTTCAACTTTTGCAAAGTATTTCCCAACGATTCCGAATTCATCTTATTTCACCGCAAAGAACAAATAACCATGGCAACACCTTTCATATCCTTGCTCGAGCCTGGAAAGGTCGAAGAATTCCAACGCGGTGTACCCTTGGACCAGCAACCAAGTACCATCCCGCAAACCTTCCTCGACGCCATGGAGGTACGGCAAAACGTCTTTGTTCAAGAGCAAAAGGTCCCGGCTGAGAATGAATTCGACTCTGACGACAACCGGTCATGCCACTGGGTCATCTACGCCAGCGTCAAGAAGACGGAGGAGCCTGAGATCACAGACAAGGCAGGCAACGTTGTGCAGCACCGGAAGAGCTCGACCCGCTCAACACCCATCGGAACCATACGACTCGTTCCCTTCCCTCATGATCCGCACCCTCAGGATGGCGGCAGATACATCGATGGGAGGCTACAGGACACCGACGGGGAACAGAACCACATGGTCTTGACGGGGGGTGTCGGAAGGCCGCCCTACATCGTCGAACGAGAAACCACCTTCCATGACGGCCAGGAGCCGTATGTGAAATTGGGACGCTTGGCAGTCATTAAGGAGTTCCGAGGCCACCGTATCGCTGGGCAGGTTGTCAATGCGGCACTCTCCTGGATCAAGTCGAATCCCTCCTACTTTGACCCCAGCATCAAGGAGGTCGGCATGAAGAAACTGGGTGCTACCAGTGACAAGGAGATCCCTACGTGGAAAGGCCTGGTATGTGTCCACGCCCAGAAGCAGGTCGTGGATGTCTGGAAGAAATGGGGCTTCGAGCTGGATGAGGGTATGGGCACATGGTGGGAGGAGGGTATGGCACACGTCGGCATGTTTCGGCGATTGAACATTGCATAGGATGATGTTTTTGCCCAGTCCCAACTTCCTTCTCCAGTTATGTGTGATGGTGTTAAATCGAGAGGGGTGCAAGGTTTGACATTCGAACAGCGGAAATGAGATAACGGTCTCCAGCATTTTCAGAGAGCCTTGATACACAAAGAATCATCACACTAGACGAGAGCACGCGATAGAGTGGACAAGAAATATGAGTTCATTCAACTCTCAGGGAGCCCGACTTTTTTTTATTGAATCTAGAGCCACCTAAGAAAATCCATAGCCGCGTTCCCAGACCCGATGAACGCAAAATGCATTTCGAAACATGCCGGAACACGCCAAAGCCGCAACCCCTCCCGTCATGAATCCGCCGTTGCACCTTTTATCGGTTGCTCTTGGCGACACGCTCCAGCTCGTCCTTCTTCTTGATAGCGTAAGAGTTGCTGGAACCCTTGGCGGCGTTGATCAGCTCCTCAGCAAGGCACTCAGCAATAGACTTGACGTTGCGGAAAGAGGCCTCGCGGGCACCAGTGGTGAGGAGGGCGATAGCCTGGTTGACTCGGCGGAGGGGAGAAACATCAACGGCTTGTCGTCGGACGGTACCGGCGGAACCGATTCGGGTAGAGTCTTCACGGGGACCGCAGTTGACAATGGCGTCAACAGCGACCTGGATGGGGTTCTGGTCGGTCATCAGGTGGATCTGATCCAGGTGTGTTAGCATTCGCAGTCGCTTAGGGGTCCTCTCCTCTCATCAGGTGGCACGTACGATCTCGAAGGCGTGGGCAACAATTCGGACAGCCATGAGCTTCTTTCCGTTGTTGCGGCCGTGCATCATGAGCGAGTTGGTCAATCGCTCAATGATGGGGCAGTTGGCCTTTCGGAATCGCTTGGTGGCATATCGGCCAGCAGTGTGGGTGACGTAGACGGGGTTTCGCAGGGAAATGTAGTCACTGTCGCGAGACTTCCATCAGCAACTCGTTCGCGCGGAGGGCATTCAGACTCGATGCAGCATCGCCAAAGTCAGGGGAAAAATTAACGTACGTCAGGGAGATGTCGCGGACCTCGACATCGTAGTCCCACTTGTTGAAGAGCTTGACGTTGCCAACCTCCTTGACAACGTCCTTGGGGAGCACCTCGTAGAGGGCGGTGTTCTCGACCTCGATCTCGCCGGCGTCAGACATGTTTGCTGTTGCAGTCGTGGGTTCCGGGACTGACGGGCTGCGGTTAGTGTTGCGGATGTCGAGATGGTATTTTTCGTGAAGTTGAAGGTGGGCTTGGTCAAGAGAGGTTCGAAATTTTGGTGGTGGCCCACCGGGCGAATCACGGTGCGCAAAAATTCGGGTACGTACCTACCCCCTCCAAAATATTAGGGCTCGGCTGCCCTGGGCGAACTTCGGCTGGGGACGAACTTCGATTCGTGCTGGGTCAAGTGGGAGAGTTTCTTTGGATCGCATCACCACACTTTCCTGTTCCTGTCTTGCACATCCCGTTCAACGACAGCACATATCAGACAAAATGGTGAGTTTTTGTGATGCCCTCACAGATGTCCGAATGGCGAGCATTTGACTGACAACAATCTCAGGCCCCCGCTGCCGGTGGAAAGAAGCAAAAGAAGAAGTGGTATGTGATCGCGCACAGCCGCCGTCATCGTCGATATTGAAGCTTACCCGTATCGTAAAGGTCCAAGGGCAAGGTCAAGGACAAGGCCCAACACGCCGTCATCCTCGACAAGACCACTTCCGAGAAGCTCTACAAGGATGTCCAGTCCTACCGCCTGGTCACCGTCGCCACCCTCGTCGACCGAATGAAGATCAACGGTTCGCTGGCCCGACAGTGCCTCGCCGACCTCGAGGAGAAGGGCATGATCAAGCCCGTCATCACTCACAGCAAGATGAAGATCTACAGTATGACGGCCCCTCGGAACCTCTTGCCTGAACAACTGCTAACCCAACTCTAGCCCGTGCCGTCGGTGGTTCTGACTAAGTGCAATGAACGAAAAGAATCAAGTCTCACGATTTCGCGTCTGGGTGGCCTGGACGATAGACAGGCCACATGGTCGGAGGGTGTTGCAAGGCGAAAAAAAATAAGCCTGGGTTAGGACGCTTTTCATGCTCGGTTAGCATTGGGACGGAATTGCTTTAGCATATACGGCAACGGAATGAAAGATCTTCGAAATGACCAAGCATTGTTCCCTCCTGTGACGCGGATATTGGTGTATTTGTTTGATGCCTGCCTGGCGAGGAGACATATGACATTGGATGATGGTGTCAGTGATGGAAGATAGGGCCTGTGTCTCAATGTATTAGTGCCTCTTCACCCAAGTCCGCCAGGTCACGGGTAGAGTTGAACATGTACTGGCACGATTGTTGACAGGTAACTCGGCTTATATCTCTGTGGACTCTTCCGTGAACATACCGGGGTGTCATTGATACCAACATTAAGTTACCCAATCCCCACTTGGTTATCCTCGAGTCTGCCGTGGCAATCCCTTGTCGATAGCTCATATTGCACACCGTTGACATCTGAATTGCTTCCGGTCCAACCTATAGGATAGTCCTGTGGGCCAAGACGACTATATCCTAGCCCTGAGTGACGGCGCCCCAGACGCAGAGTCTACACACCGCAAGATCGACTTGCTCGCACCCTGTAGCACTTCTACACACCTTGAACCCTGACAACTCCGTATTCGCTGTTCCCGTAGACAACGCAACCACGATCAACTCCTGTATCCCGTAACAAAACGAGGCCAATGCCTCCGGGACGTTCCAGGTCCAAGGTGCTGTATCAGAATGGGCTTTCAATGGACAGGCCTGGAGGTACCTGGGTCAACTTTGGCATGTATCGACAGATATCCACAACAAAAACCCGAGCCACTATCTGCTTGAATACCCCCCCGCAGTTATGCCTCTCCCAAAGTCGCCCTCGCTGGTTCTGCATGACCCTCACAGGGGCTTGACCGACACTTCTCGTCGCCAAGACCGTGGTTCGGTTCAAGCCTGGGACCCGGATATGCCGTATTGGAAGCGGCAAACAGAAAGCTGGGGGTGAGATGAGGTACCAGAAGAGTGCCAGAACATACTTACCGCTGGCAACATTGGCCCCAGTGCAGGGTAACAGCTCGAGGTATCGAAACTCGTAAGAGAATAAGGCACCAGCCGGCGTGACGAATTTGTGGTCAGTCAACAGCCATTGCCCTCAAGCATAGTATGTCATGGACCACATAATTCGTCGAGACTCAATGCCCAATAACACCGTATCCAGGATAGGAGCGAGATAGCTTCTTGCCATTGTCACAGCATTCAGGTTGCTCATATACTCTCCAGACGATGACGATCTCGACTCAACACCCTTGACTCCAAGGGCTTTCCATACCATCCATCCCTGGAGAACTACTCCAAAGTCTCAGCCTGCCAGGACATATTGATCCGATATGTGATTCTCCTCGACTGAGCGGTCTGTCCGGAAGGGCACGTGATGAAGGAGAATGAGGAAATTTCTGAAACTCGGTCACGTGCCACAATGACATTGACTTTCGGAAGTCACCCGTGATAAATGCAGCCAGTGACACCAGCGCTTGCTGACGAGTCAAGCAAGATAATGGGTGTTTGATATTTCGCTCAATTGGCTCTTGGCGAGAAGCTCCCGAGGAGCATGAGACGGACAATCGTCCATCAGAACTGACGGTCAGTGAACTGCCTGCCCGTGAGGGTGCCACAGGAGGCGGGCCAGTGTTGTCCCTTTAATACCAGGCATGGAAGGCCTCTTTGTTCCGACGTGGCCCTCAGCGAGATGCACGCCGAGATGCACGAAAGGCATTCTAGCCTAGACAGGATAGCCGCTCGGTCTACCACGCGGCGTCTATGTCGGTTATCCGAGCGGCGGCCGGCGGACGGGGCGGAGAACACCCATCCCATCAGCAAGTACGGACGGATAGAGGCAACGGTAAGATTGGGCCGGGATCCAACGTCAATAATGATGAATCTGGTTCATTTCCCATGTGCCTCGATCTTGACCTTGTTACCTCTGAAATGGAACACAGGGGAGTGGATACAACGGTTCTTTCTTTTTCCCCTCGGGGCCAACGTCGATAGGTCAATGGCTCTTGGGAGGATCGGCAAGATACCTTGTAGGGACCCGAGCAATTGAGGCTTTTCAAGGTCCTCCGACTACGTCTCAGCCATGCAGCACGATATGGTGATGGAAAGTCTTCGGGCTAAAACGACCGAGGCAATAACGGCCCTGATGAAAACAAGAGTCAGTTCGTCATCCACGATTTCTATTGACTCGAGTCGGACGGACGTCCCGAGAGATAAAGTCAGGGATCAAAAAGAGAAGTAAAAAAAATCTTAGCCGACTGCATGACGATAAGCGGTACTCCGTACTGTACGGGGTGCACGGCCACACCCTTGGTTGTCTTGTCTTGCACCCAGACCAAGAAATAAATGGCATACTGCAGGTAGGCAATGAGACCTTTGCCGGGCTATACAGACGTAATTTAGACTAAAATAAACAAATAAAAATATGAATTATATAAATTATACTCTAAAGTCTATATAAATTCATTTTTTTATAATCATAAGCTCTTTATGCTGTGATTCAGCAGATTAAAAGGCAGAGTAGGTACTTGCGAAGTGTGCCATTTTTTTCTTGGACCACTAGTCTTGTTACCGAGGCCAACGGAGAAGAGAAGATTACGAACTGGAAGCAGGGGAGTACATATGTACAGTACGAGGAGCAGTGAGGCGGCGTCGGCGGTGGCGGAATCTGGCATTCGGCTCAAAGGGTGAAGGAGGTGCTTTGTTTAGAACGGGCGCCGGAGCCTGACAAGAGCTTCTCCCAAGCCGCAAGCTCTCTGGGCCCTCGCACCCCCTGACGGCTCCAGCTGCTGACGGAGAAGAGCGTTTTAGCTCGGCTTGTCTCCCTTGCCGCTGGTGGATCCAGGGGGGTCGGGCGCGGGATAACGAAGGGTCTTGAAGCGCTGGACCGGAACGCTGGCGATGAGCATCAGAATTTTTGTATTACGGTGTATCCACCACTGTCGTGGTAACAGGTCCAGGATGAAGGCATTACTAAAGAGACGAACAGGGCCAGAGAAGAATTCCGGCAGTCACGGGGAGAAGAGCAAGGAATGACGCCTGTTTTGCGGTGATTGCTTTGGCTAGGTTCGTTGCTTGTTTGATACCGCTGCTCATCCGTGGGGAACGAGAAAAAAAAAATGCTGCCCTGCCCGTTGCAGGCAGCTCAGACAAACAGACACCAATTGGATGGTTGATTGCCGGGGGCGACCCGGGGGAGGCGAGATCCAATGACGCGCGCACTGTGCACGGTGAGGGAGCAGCAACGGCGAGTGGGTGTGCTGTTGGCCAAGTTCTGGCGGGCTTAGCAGCTTACTTCGGGCGCTGCGACCGCCAGAGGGTGTTCCAAGGATGGGTGCTGGGACGCTGGGACCCGGAGAGTGCTAGCTAGAGTGGATTGGAGAGCCGGGGGAAGCTGGACGGTGTGGAGGAGGGTGGATGAATGGAGGTGGTGATGATGGATGGATGGATGGTTCAAGAAGGATGTCAATAACAGATGATGGCGGTGATGGATCTTTGGAAGGATCAATTGCAGTAGAAGATCACAGGAAAGAACCAAGAGGATTGAAAACATAAACACAGAGCGTTCAATGGCAGTTTACATGTCTTGGAAGCTGCCATGGTCCGTGTCTCTGTGTATCGATATCAGAAACTTGATGCCAGAAAACCGCTCGGCCAGCACATCACCACCAACCAGGAAGCAGCGCCCCAGACAAACCGCCGAGTCAAGATCAATATTCACACCGTACAGCAGGTACCCCGTACAGTAAAACCCCAAATGTACCGAGACGTATCCGTCAATCCAAGCAACGTCGCGGTTCCCAAGACGGGTCTAGGTCTCGGCGCTCGACAAAAAATCGGGGTGAACCGGCATCTCATCTTGCAGCCGGGCTGGCTCTCGCAGGCCAGGATAGGCGCAGGATTTGCTCAGCGGGACCCACCCCGGAGGCCACTGGAGTGCCACTGAGTGGCCACCTGTCGCTGTTGGCCACCCCTGAAAGGGCCCCGCGGGAAGCTGGAGCCCTCCAGCGGGCGAGGCTAAGGTGCGGCCTCAGGCTGCCAGGTGTCCTTGCTGCTTGTTGCCGTGGGAAAGCCTGGAGACAGAGGCTGGCTTGGGGCTTGGTTGGCTGGGGGTCCCAGCTCCCTTTAGCGCGAGCCGGGAAGATTCGCTCAAAAGCGCCTCTCCTCCAGATCCGCCGCAATTTTTTTTCCCTCTCCCCCCAAATACCTCTCACCCCCCGTCGGCGCAGATTTATTTCTCTCAACTCCTCCCTTCATTCTCTCTCTCTTTCTTTCTTCATCTCTCCATCTCCCCTCAATCCTTTCTTCTTGTTCAAGGGAAAGACCTTCACAGCCGTCACCATGTCTGAGCAGCCGCAGAAGGTTTTGGGCATGCCGGTAAGTTTTTTCTTCTCGATCCCCCTCAATCGACCAGATCCCCTCGGCCGTGAAATGCCGCGTGTGCGAGATATCTGCTTGATGCTTGATCGATTGGGCTTCGCCGAGCACAATTGAAGATTCAATTGATCTCGTGCGGGGTTTGGCATTGGTTTCACCACCGATATCACTGCCGCCCGACCAAGCCAGCATTTATCGCATCGCTGCCATTTGGCCGATGGTCGATTGGGATACATGATATCATGAGCAATGGCTAACGTGTCTTTTCACAGCCCTTCGTGGCCGACTTCCTGAGTATGTTTCCGCCTACCGATGCCGCCCCCCACCTCACTTCGAGGACGACGTCGTCTCCTCGAGCTGAGCTTGGGCCAACAAACATTTTTAACGCGGACGAATACTGACATATATCCCAGTGGGTGGTGTTTCCGCCGCCGTCTCGAAGACCGCCGCCGCTCCCATCGAGCGTGTCAAGCTTCTTATCCAGAACCAGGTCAGTACCGTCGCCCAGCATTGTGCATCTCTGCATCGCATAGCTGCATGAGCCCTAAGCTCTCGGCTATCACGTGCGATAAGCGCATTGCAAACACCCGTCTCCAACAGCCATTAACCATGACAACAGGATGAGATGCTCAAGACCGGTCGTCTCGACCGCAAGTACAACGGCATTGGTGACTGCTTCAAGCGCACCATGGCCGATGAGGGTGTCATGTCCCTCTGGCGAGGCAACACTGCCAACGTCATCCGATACTTCCCTACCCAGGCCCTGAACTTCGCTTTCCGCGACAAGTTCAAGAAGATGTTCGGCTACAAGAAGGACAAGGATGGCTACGCCCTCTGGATGGCTGGTAACCTGGCCTCCGGTGGTGCTGCTGGTGCCACCTCTCTTCTCTTCGTCTACTCCCTGGACTACGCCCGTACTCGTCTTGCCAACGATGCCAAGAACGCCAAGTCCGGTGGTGACCGTCAGTTCAACGGTCTCGTCGACGTCTACAAGAAGACCCTCGCCTCTGACGGTATTGCCGGTCTCTACCGTGGTTTCATGCCCTCCGTTGCTGGTATCATCGTCTACCGTGGTCTCTACTTCGGCATGTACGACTCCATCAAGCCCGTTGTCCTCACCGGTCCCCTTGCCAACAACTTCCTTGCCTCTTTCGCCCTTGGTTGGATCGTCACCACCGGTGCCGGTATCGCCTCTTACCCTCTTGACACTATCCGACGACGCATGATGATGACCTCTGGTGAGGCCGTCAAGTACAAGAACACTCTTGATGCTGCCCGCCAGATCGTCGCCAAGGAGGGTGTCAAGTCTCTCTTCAAGGGTGCTGGTGCCAACATTCTCCGTGGTGTCGCCGGTGCTGGTGTCCTGTCCATCTACGATCAGCTCCAGGTCCTCCTCTTCGGAAAGGCCTTCAAGTAAACGTCGTGTACAACAACACACCCTGTATAGACTCGGGGGAATGGGGACTCGGAGAGAACTTAATCCGCGGGCTTGACATGGCGTCCGCTGGTTGAAACAAAAAGGCGAGATGGAAGTGCAGACGAGGGAAGTTGTCGCAGATACCCGACGTGGTCCTCTGGAAACAGCAGCTCTTTACGGGTTAGAGTGGCATAGGCACGGCGTCTTTTTCTCATCTTGCTTTGCCTTCCGTTCTAGGCCGCTGTAATATACACCAATGCAATTTCCCTTGATACCGTACATGCTACTTGTGCCTTTGTGATGTGATGTACGCCAATTGTGTCTGTGATGATTTGTGTAACCCAAAACCTTGGTGAAGTGAAGTTCGCAACCCTGCTGACTAAGCACTCTACTCTCGATTGAACTCTCAACTTGACGCGTTACTTCGACCAATGTTCCCAGACCCGCGTCACAAGCACAATCAACCTACACCGCCAGCGATATCCCCGTTGCCGAGAGTATAGCAATGCCTCCAAAGCAGACATCAGGTTCAAGCCGTGGCCGACCCAAGGGTGCAGGTAAAAAAGCTGCCAAAGCACCAGAGCCCGAGCCAGAGCGACGGTCACTTGACCCCTTCGAGATCTCGGAAGACGAGGACCCCGCAGACTCTACCGAAGACGTCCAAGTCGTAGAGGATGAAGAGCCCGAGCCCGAGAAGACGATACCGCGAGATCTGCTGACACGGCTACTACACGAGTTCTTCGCCAAGGACTCGACGCGGATATCGAGGGACGCCAACGATGCGGTGGGCAAATACTTTGACGTCTTTGTGAGGGAGGCCATCGCACGTGCGGCAGTGGAGAAGGATGGGGGTTTCTTGGAGGTTGAGGATTTGGAGAAGGTCTCGCCGCAGCTGCTGCTGGATCTCTGAGGGGAAGTGGAGGAAGCTAGGACATGGTATGTCAAGCGGAGGTCATGGGCAATTATATGCGAGGATGGTATCCTGACACTGTCTAGGTCTGCTCATACGAACCAAGATCTATCTCACGAGCATCTGTTGTGTCGAGACTACGAAACAAGACATCGGACGAAATCTGAGAGCTATCGCTGGAGTTGGTCTGCGCCATTGTATGGCTACGAGTGCTGTTACAACTCCTTTCTCTGTGTTCTCAGATCAATTGCACATGAAGGACAATAGCAGACTCTTTACTACCAGAAATTGGTTGGTGTCAAGTTCTCAGCGCCCAGTCAACAGGAGAATAGGTATTTAGCACTCGGGATCTTGGATTGTTACGGGTGCTAACATCTGGTCCCAGTAACTCCAGCGCGATCAACGAAGGAGTGCAGCATGAGAATGAGTAGGAACCAGGATGTCTAAACCACCTTTGTTGTTGGCATCCTCAAGGGAAGCAAACTGTTCAGATAGTCCATATGACCGGGCGTCAACGAACCTTGACAAGCAGCGACGGGGATCGCATCTAGTTCCCTCCACTGATGCAGCCAAGACCCAGGCACGAAGAACAATGTTGCTTTGGGTACTTGATCCGGGGAAATAACAACGGTAGCTAAGACTCTTGGTGTGGTCGTGGTGTGGCATTTAGGCAGGGATTCACCTCTTCAGTCACAGTAGAAGAGGAGAAGAGCGACGCATAAGAGTAATTAAATAAATCCTATGCCAATATCTCAGTTGTAATATTGCCATGGCAGCGCAAATTTTGGTTAAGAAATCTATCGTCCATTATAGAGATGGCTGAGGCTGGACCGTTTCACGTGGTCTCCTTCCCACACTTTAGCCTGGATTCTGCAACCAAGGCGAAACGTTGCGCCTCCAACCACAACCCCTGGCCACAACCCCCGACCAAGGAACAACAAGTTGCCGAGAAGCGCAGCGTCGCATGGTCATTTTCTGCACTCGTCCAGCCGAGAGTTACAGCCCTTGTTGAGCTGCCAATGAGAAAAGGTCGCGAAACTGTCGTTGTCTCAGGGAGCTCACGGGTGAGGCACATCCGGGGGAAGCACACATCTCCTAGTTTCTGTTCGGCTCTGGAGCGAGCCGGTCTGTACCAAGAGCTTCTCTGGTGTGGTATTGGTCGTTTCGTCTATTAGACGCCACCTTGTGGCCGTTGTGATGGGACTGAGTCAGGATGAGGCCTCGCTGTAGGCAGATTCAACGTCAACCACCCGTCAGTCAGTACTGAAGGATCAAAGGTTTGGAAAGCCAGCAATGGAAGAAATTCTCTTTCAATTGTCCCATGTTCAAGTTGAACAGATCTAAAGCAAATGTCGTCTCGATCGAGTTGACTCGAGACAGCCGAGATGCTTCTCAGACTTGGCATTGTTCATCTAGACAAACCTGCCAACCCATCGTTTCAAACCTCTCCCTCTCCTCGTCTCAAACCACCTCCTGCCCAGCGGCGCTTGCAACCCCCGGCGGGTGACCAGCCGAGACGGAACCTCCAAGATCCATCTGCGCCGTCACCGGCAGCGTGCTTCAGATCTGCCTCGAAACCAGCCGCTAGGGTCGCGGCCGGAGGTGTGCCAGCTATTACTGGGGAGGGGATCATAATGAGCTTCGCCTTTAAATAGATGGTGTTTCTTGCTCTCTTCGTCCCGTTTCCTCTTCATCTTCATCCCGCACAAATTCAACAACAGAAGCCTTCTCTCTCTGGGCTTTCTCTTTTGTCTCTTTTTTCTTTCTTTTCTCACTCTTCTCTTAATATTCAATTCAGACGAGGCTAGTCCTTGTGAGCGCGAGTCGCCTTTCCCATCCCTCGGTGCTACAGTATATCCTGATACTCTATACATCCTCTTTTCTTTCTTCCTCGTCAAATACCCTCATTCAGACATCATGCATTTTCTTCAGCTCTCTCTTGCAGCCCTGGTTGGCGTTGCTCAAGGTATGTATCCCTATACTTCCTCAGTTATATCCAGCTAACACCCCTGAAGCCCTCGATGTCCAGGTCGTCTCTGTAGGCAGAAACTCGGCTACAAATGCAACTGGCCTCAAGTTCTGGCCCGAGAAGATCACAGCAGAGCCTGGCACTATGGTGCAGTTCCAGTTCTGGGCAGGAAACCACACCGTGACACAGTCCACCTTTGACGATCCTTGCATTCCCATTGGCAATGTCAACTCGAGCGTCCAGGGCATCTACTCGGGTTACATGCCCGTCGATGCTAGCATGGCCATGGGCATGATCCCCACTTACACCATCGAAATCAAGGACAACAAGCCCCTGTGGCTCTACTGCAGCAAGGCCAAGCATTGCCAGGGTGGAATGTCCATGGTCATCAACGAGAAGTGAGTTCAACACAGGTCCATTGATGTGAACTAGTTGCTAACCTTGATTAGCACCGCTGCCAACTCTTCTCGATCTCTTGACAACTACCGCACCGGCTGCCAGTCTGCTACTGGAGCTGACGTTGTTCCTGTGAATGAAGGTTCCACTGGTGGTGGCAACAACGGAGGCAGCAACGGAGGCAGCGGCAGCGGCAACGACTCTGGCTCTGGCTCTGGCTCTGGCTCTGGCGGCGATAGCAGCAATGGTGGTGACAGCAGCAATGGTGGAAGCGGAAGCGGCTCTGATTCTGGTTCTGGTTCTGGCAGCGGAGATGGCAGCGGAAGCGGTTCAGGCTCCGGCTCCGGTTCTGGCGACTCGCCTCTGCCTACTGGCATCCAGACTCCGGCCCCTACTGGCACTCCTACTGCCGGCAGCCCTGCCTCGACCGAGTCGGTGGTCACAGCATCTGCGCCCAAGCTTCTCGCACCAAGCTCACTGGTGCTGGCTGTCGGTGCCGCCTTGTTGCTGCTGTAAACAACAGAATCAAACAGGGGATGAGAGGAGAGTTCTTGTACGCATAGACTTGGCGACGCAAAGAAATGAAAGGGAAATCAATTAATTAGGCGGCTTGATACCAATGGCTGGATGGTTTTGTCGGCCGCGGGATAGGCCAGACAATCCATGGTGTTGGGTAACTGTTTTACTCGAGAAATAAAGGGACAATGTATTATTTAGATGCTCTCGAAAATCGAGTCTTCAAAAACTTCTCTCTTTGGCCATGATGTGTTCATATTCACTTGAGTTTTGATATACAAATACAGATCAACGAAGGGGGCTAATCCAAAGTAAAGACACGCAACAACTCTAATCACACACATTAATCCTCCTCCTTGCCGGGAATCTTTCTCTTCTTCCTGGTGGCCTGCACCTGGTCACACAGCTTCTTGGGCTCCTCCTTCTCGAGCCAGTTGTCCTCTCTCTTGAGGTAGCCGTACTTGGAGTACTTCTTGCTGTTCTTAAAGAAGTTGACCCAGTGGAGCAGGGCCTTGTGGGCGTGTTCCTTGGCCTCGGCCAGCTCCTTTTCCTTGAGGGCGGCGAGCTCCTCAGGGGTCCAGTAGGCGTCCGTCTCGGGGTCGTCGAGGGGTAGGAAGGCCTCCTCCATGCCACGTAGGTCGGCAGTGCGGTCCTCGGCGAAGCAGCCCGTGACAAAACCGCGAGCAGCGTCGGTGGCGGCAAAGTAATGGTATGAGCCGCCGGGTCCGTACATGCGGCGGCCGGCGGAGACGTCGTAGATGGTGCCGTTGATGGCGAGGAGGAGGGGTCTATCGGGGTCGGTTCCGTCGTAGAGCTTGAGTTCGTTAAGGGTCAGGTAGTTGGGCGGTGGCTATGGTAGGTGTTAGCAGAGGAATGACAGCTGGAAGAGACACAACTCAACTGGTCCATTGATAAGCTCCTTGTAATACTTGACAGTCAAGTAGTCGGGCTTATTCTTCATGCCCCAGAAGTAACTCTTGCCTCCAGTGATGAGGTAGCTGAGGCCGCATGATGCGAGCAGCAAGAAGGTTATGACGCGGAGGACGTCGACGTAGGGAGTGTAGCCATCCCAAGGGTCTTCCTCGTCGATTTCTTTGGAAGATCTGGTCTTGCCCTCCTCGTCCTCAGATTCAGACCCAGACGTCTCCTCCTGGTCTGGTTTAGGCTCGGGGTCCTCGTGTTGAGGCTTTCGGTGGCGCAAAGTCGACTCTTCTGCCATCTTGACAAGTTGCAACGAATGTGGTGTAGAAAGACAAGTTGCGACAAAGAAACAAACGAGGAATCGAGGACAACTTATTCAAACTGTCCAAGTGTCAAAAGGGGTGATTCGAATCTCAAGGTGGCGTGTCTGATGGTGCTGTTTCGTCGCGCTTCGGCCTCGTACTCGGCGTCGGAGCTTTTACTTGTCCATTTGCATGGATTCCATCATCAGATCCATTCATGGGAATCTCACCAGAAGCTCTATCGTGATTCTTCCAGTGGAGTCCAGGGCCCGTTCAGGGCCTGTCAATCTGCACACACCCCTGAGCCGCGGGGTCAGCAGCGCTGTAAGGCCCTGATTGGAGCCCTGGAAGTTATGCCCACGCCTCTGAGAGAGGTCCCCTCCAGTCCAGTCAAGCCCAGGTCCCCGCCGCGCTAGACATCACCACGGCAACCAGGGCATGGCCTCATTAGTCGTGCCCCAGCAGCGGGCATGTAAACGTAAACACTCATGATGCAACCACCACCACACACCAAAACCAAAAGACGCTCCATAACAAAACTAAGAAACTAAGTTGCAACGCCAGAATTCGACTGCAACCACAGACAACACTCCCTCCCCTCGAGACACAAACCGATCGATCACTCACTTCCCTTCGCAATGGAACATCCAAACGTGAGCCCGATGGGTTCTCCGGGCGGTCCCCTCCAGGCCGCCACCGCTGAGCGCGTGAACCAGCAGAGGGAGCGAGAGTCCATCTTCTCACACTTGCGTGGCGGTTCGCGCGATAGTACCGTGCACGACAAGATCAGCCAGTTCAACAACCTCAGCGTCTCCATGCAGTCCAAGCAGCTGGAGCGCAAGACTGCCGACGCCGCCCTCAAGCGGGCCATGGTCGGCCGTGAAGAGGCAGAGTCTGAGTTGAGGAGATACAGAGAAGAGAATAAGGCCCTAAGGAAAGCCGTCGACGAGGGCAAGGAACGTGAGAAGAAGGTTGGAGAGCGTCTCGAGACCCTCATGGTATGTACTTCGCCTTCTTGTCGTGTCGTGTATTAACCCTCGCCAGGAAAACTATGGCCGCGCCAAGGAGACACACGCACACACACAAGCCCTATGGGAGAAAGAGATCCGACGCGCGAGAAAAGAGACATTCAAGACCCAATCGTCAATCGTCAAGCTACAGGAGGAGCTCAAGTCATCACGCACATCAGCAAAGATGATAGACGAGAACCTCAAGCGTGAAAAGGAGAGGAGCAAGGTACGGGAGCAGGAGGCGTTTGAAGCACGCTACCAGATCGTCGGCGTTCAAGAACAGCTCGACCAAGCCCTTGAGCGAATCAAGGTGGTGGAACAAGAGCGAGACGCTTACAAGACGGCCGCTAAGAACGAGGAGGTTGCCCGCATCGCCGCTGAGGGTCGCCTTCCTCTACCACCTTCCAGCGGCGCTGACGATGAGTTTGATTCACCAAAGAAGACTCGCGAGTCTAGAGGCCCACGCGTGTCACTGTCCACCATGGACATTCTCTCCTCGGCAGCCAGTGAAGCCGAGATTGAGGATCTGACCATTCAGCTGCAATGGGAGCGACAACGCGCCGAGCGTGCCCACGAGATGATCGAGTTCCTCCAGGCCGAATGCCACCTCCGATGCTGCGCCTGCGCCAAATCCGACCGCCGTACCAACACCGAGGCGCCTCGTCAAAAGCGTCGAAGCTCCTTCGGCCTCGAGGGACCCAACGATAAGCTCCAAAAGCTTGACAATGACGTGCCAGAGGCTGTCCAGCGTTCCCAAACTCCACCTCGCATCCAGGAGCCTGAGGCTCAGGCCCGGGAGGTCGAGGTTGAGGCTAAGGGTGAGGTCCAGCCAGAGGAAGAGGGGGAGCAACATCAACAGCAAACACAGCTAACTCCTGAACTTGCGAAGCCCAAGTCCAAGAAGGAGCCTCGTCGTAGCACCATCTTCTGTCCCAAGGAGGGCATCTTCCGAACAGTGTCTGAGCAAGAGGCTGAGGCCTTTGAGGCACAGCGCAGGATGGAAGCTGAAGCTGAGGCTGCTCAACAAGAGATCCAGTCCGAGGCTGAGGTTGGAATCGAGACGATTGTTGAGGACGTCACCGAGCTGGGCCCTCCTACTCCTGAAGAGGAGGAAGAGGACCGCAGGAGATATGCCCGAACTCCCTCAGTTGATCCTCCAGCCTTTGCCATGCTCGCCCAAGAGCGCATCTCTCTTGTCTCCCTCCTCAACGCTCCTCACAACGAGGCTCACACGGCCCCTATCCCCTCTGTGCCAACCATGCCCGACACGGCTGACACCCTCGTCTCCCCTGAGACTCGACCTCACACCTCGGCCAACTTCTACACCGTCACAACAACAACCACAGTGCCTGTCCACGACGACAACGCTCACAGCGACTCATCCTTCTCGGAACGCCTTCGGACGCCTTCCCACAACAGCACTGGCACAACCTTTGACCTGTCCAACCCAGCTCTCACACCAACCATGACACGCGAGCAGGCTCTCGCCAAGATCCGTGAGCGTCGTGGGCGTGCTCGCTCCATGGCCCAAGGCACCATGACGCCTCGTCGACGGATGGTTGAGGGTGTTGACCGTAGGGACATGAGCGCCCCGACAGGGAAGGTCGCCGGCAAGGGACGATGAGCCATGAAGGAGCGTATGGATGGACATGACTTGACGAGTACTTGATCACGGCCCCTTTCACCTTCACCCCCTTTCTCCTTTCAAGCACGCACATACAAAAGTTTCCCTTTTTTCCTCCACTTGCCGAGTCTTCTCTGCAATTTTTCCTCCTTTTCCGATCATCATCCTTTCTCCTTGCAGGCTTGGCGAAGGGGCGTTTATTGTCTTTTGTTTTTGTTTTTCTCTCGTTTGGAATCGTGGTTTGGAAGGCCATTTGGACATGGGACAATGGATGCATCACTGAGCGATAGCGGTTTTGGCTTGGCTCGATTGATGCCTTCTGGATTGATTGATTGATTGACTTACTGAACTGATTATTGATTGCCATGTATGAAACGCTCGAGCCCGTCTCTTGGGCCACGATTAATGTGCGGTGGTTGGGTCTCGTTGATAGTTTCTTTTTTTCCCCGTATCTGCAATGACACGATACGTATACGTTGAAACTTGCTGCCTCTTGGTGTGTTATGAGAACTTGGTGCTTGTTTGATTGTCAGTCTTGATGCGTAATTGTATTGGTATCCAAGATAGATAACCTCCGAACTCCAGATTCTACATTCGCCTCTTGCTATCATAAATGTCATGTCCGTGTATGCACCCCCCTCTTTCTTTCCGTCTTTCCTTCTTACTCTCCTTCCATGTTTAACCTCCTAGGAATCCTCTCGCCATGTTGCGTGCCAGCTGTGAGCTCACGGCGTCAAGCTTAGCTGCAACAAGGACACACTCAACACCACTCTTGCCATTCTTCGAGGGCTGAATCTTGAGTCTCCATTGGCCCGTCTTTACCACCCACTCCTCCTCTGTAACACTACCATCGGCTCGCCTTCGTTTCCGTGGGTTGGATAAGGTACCGCTTGTGGGCGAGTCCACGGTTGAGGCCGCGGCAGGCTCTTCAACGTGCTCCTTGCCATCAAGGATGATGGCAGAGTCCGAGTCTAATATCACTCGAACAAGGTCCTCACTCAGAGGTGTATTTCCAGGAGTTGCGGGCTGAGAGCCAGCTCCGCCTGTGGCCATAAGGAGGCCAAGGGGCTGTGTCGTTGGAGGCAGGTTAAGCTTGGTGGAGATGACCTCAAACAGCTTGGCGACACGAGCCTTTGTATCCTTGAAGAACTCGGCCCTAGGAACACCTCCTGTGAAGTGAATCTTTGTCATTTCACCACCAATTTCGAGTACCAACTCGGCCGGCTTCTCGTCGACGTACGGCCGAGCGTACTGTACCCATCCAGACACGGGGTCGGGCCCTTCGAGGAAGACGCTTATACCGCTCTTTTGGACATTTTCAAGACGCAGAACAATCTCATCACGCCGCCTCGCCTGGTTGTGGCTAATGGAGTGAGGTATGAGACGCTGCTCAAGACCCTTGAAGTGAAAGTATCGAGCATCGCGAAGCAGCTCCTGCCGGTGCGTCTCGTCGCGGATATGAATCGGATACCCGCGCAAGAGGTGCAGTAGCTCTGCAAACGTCTTTGCGCTGCGCTTGGGGACCGAGGGCGGCAGTATCGAAGGCGGTCGGATGAGGCCCTCGCGGTCGAGGCCGGGGAATAGGTCGTCAGGGCGCGAGAAGAAGGCAGCGAAGCCAAGGGAGAAGAAGTTGGGCGAGTTTCCAGGATCGTTGAAGATCTCGCGGGGGATCTGAAACTCTCGATGGCCGATGCAGATAAAGATGCTCTCCTCGTAGAGCTGCGAGATAAGCTTGGGCACTACGCGCAGGGGGACTATATGTCAGATAGGGTTATATGTTTTTAAGACAGAGAGGTACAACTGACGGCTGTAGAACTGCGCATCGGAAAAGAGTCGCACAAAGTGCTCGCCGTCGCGCGGGGAGACGTGGTAACCCTGTAGATGCAGCGAGATGTCGCGGAAGATGACGGGATCGCGATCGATGTAGAGGGTCCGGATCGCTGCGCCCGTCTCGTCACCCCTCTCTTCTGCCGACTTGAGCTGGCACAGAAAGTACTGAGAAAAGTACGACGGTGCTACATAAAATGTTAGTGGGTGTATGCGCGCACGCGCAGGTAGCACAAGGGCTCGAGTCTTACCGTCAGAAGACAAGGAAGCACCCGACAGCTTAAACAGCTCGCTTCCGATCTGGATAGGAAACACGCGCTCGTGGGGGAGTATGTGAGGGATTCGAGCGACGTTCTGCTCCGACAGCGGTTCGACCGTCATTGCGCCAGTCTCTGTAGACGAGACGGAAGCCATTGAGGTGAGTGTGTGTGGTTCTTGTTGTTTTTATACTATATCGGTGTCGTCTTCCGTTTGCGCGGAGACGCCATAATAATCAGGCGGAAACAACTTGAAGAGAAGGAAAGAGAAGGAGAAGTCGATGGAACGCCTGAGATTGAAGTCGGGATGAACTACGCGCGTGGGACTAGGGACTTGGGGGTTCCCGTCTGATGGATACGAGGAGGAGGTGCAGATGAAACGCGACATAGCTTGCGCCACGGCATGTGTGGCTGATGCAATGGAAGAGACCTAGAAGCAGTCAAGGCGTCTAAACTAGATCCCTAACAGACATGGATTAGACATGATGAGTTGATTTTCTAATGGTATCATGATTGCTTCCTTTTATTTTGTCTCATTATCTTGAACGACGCTTCAGTCCAGATGTAAATATCTGTATCCCTCTACAGTCTTGATAGCAACTCCACCCTCGAAATTGATATCTTGCGCCTTCATGTCCCCTCTAATTTCTCCAAGACTCGGTTCCATATCCGTCTTTGTCCTAATATGCAGAGTCGGCCGCTAGCTCTTTCATTTTGCGCCGTCCTCGTCAAGGCTACTCTCCGTGATCCCGCTCATCGGCTCATCAACTCAACGCCGCTGCGGACAACACCAACAACAGCACCCGTCTGGATAGACTCGCTGCTTCCACCAGCCACTCTATGCTCGATGTCGGCCAGACCATCCAGCCAGGTGATCATCACCTCTGGGCTTACTTCGAGCTTTGTAAGCTCTTCCGACAGAGCGGTGATGATGTCAGCTAGAGCCAGACCTAGCGATACTTTGAGAGAGTTGATGGTGGTCAGACAGCTTGTCACATCTGATGTGTTGAGCAGCGTCGATAGAATCTCCTTGATGGCGTCTGGAGGTGGCGCTGCGATACAGTTGTAGATTGTTTCTGTTGTGATGTTGTCCCGCTTAATCTCACTATCAGGGATCTTAGGAGCATCCTTCGGTCGCAACGGCGTACCTGTCCTCTTGTTAGCAGCTGTAAAGGAAGAATCACATTGTAGCACTCACTTGACGCATGGCAAGCTTGTAGCACGTTCAATGCCCGTCGCATGTCGCCCTTGCTCAGCTTCACCAGCGCATCCACCGCCTCGCCGCCAATCTTGACGTGCTCCTCCTCAACCACCTTGTCTACCAGCACCCGGATGTCGGCCTCCTTGAGAGGGCTGAAGCGGAAGCGAGTGCAACGACTCAGCAGGGCAGGACTAAGCTTGTGGGCGTAGTTGGCGATGATGCAGAAGCGTGTGTTGACGGTGTACTTTTCCATGATACGTCGCAGAGCCATCTGAGCTGTACTCGTCATGGCGTCGGCCTCATCCAGTACGATGAGCTTGAACCCAGCGCCCGCGCGGGCTGACGCTCCCCCAAGCGAGAATATCTGCTTGGTACTGGCAAAGGTCTTGATTTGTTCGCGCACGACGTCGATACCACGGTCGTCCGAGGCGTTAAGCTCAAGCACCATCTGGCGCATGTTTGCGGCGCCATAGATGCGGCGCGCGAGGGCGAGGATGGTGGATGTCTTGCCGGTGCCTGGAGGGCCGTAGAGGAGGAGGTGGGGGAGGCGGTTGGTATCGACAAACTTGTTGATTGTGGCCAGGATGTCGTGATGACCCGAGACATCTTCGAGGGTATTCGGGCGGTACTTTTCAACCCTTGATCGTCGTCAGTCAGAGTCCTTCAAAGATAGCCAGCTTGCAGACTCACCAAGGCAAGCTATCCTCAGCCTCTACAGGCAGATTAGCAGCACTCCGCTTCCCCTTTGATGTGTCGGCTGAAAAGAGAACATCCTTGGAAGGTGCAGGGACATCAACGTCCATCTCATCTTCAAAGTCCGACATGTTGAGGCTGTGAATTGACCGTCGTCGCTCGAATCCGTTGCTGGGGGTGATTTTTTGGTGTTTTAGTTGAGTGCACTGAGGTCATGGAAAGTGGCTGCAGACGCGACCTGTGCTGCGCTGGAACGCGTCTAGGCGTGTCGGTCTATTAAAACCCCTGTAAGGTTACTCAGCCAATCACCAGCCGCCATTTCTTGCTGCATGAACCTGACCTTCAACTCGATATCATCATCCATTCATGTTTTCTTCATGGGCTCGTTCTCTTTCATGAACTCAGCTTCTTCGATCAGTATCAAATATCATCCATTCGCAATTCAATTGACCCATTCATACAAGACGTGCATCAAGTTGGCAATCCAGTCATCCAATAGCAACTCTACCTCTACAACTACACCACCCCGAAAGTGCTCCTTTGACCTAAATACCCAATTGCCCGTTCCAGCGCCAGTCATTCATCGCCTGCCCTATGTATGTTCATTAGAAGAAGAAGAAGAAGAAGAATATCTAGATAGATTATGTCCCAGACACCACCACAATAGCCAACAGCGGTGTCTAATCTCGTCTCGTCTTATCACTCATTGCACGCTCCGTTGATTTGTGCCCAAGCCAACGAGCTCAAACATTATGGGGATTATAGCCACCGCAAACCAGGCAATACCTAGACAGGGGTTAGTACTTGCAACAGCCAGGGTCTCGGAAACGACTCACCTGTATAGACGACGAGCTTTGTCACAACCTCGACGTCGTATCGCACACGCGGCTTGACCAGTTGCGAAAATACCTCCTTCTCTCCCAATCCACCATCCTCGCCCGTCACGAAAATCTCGATAGGATCCGGATCTTCAGTCATAGGTGATGCTACAACAGAGCCATTACCCATCAGCTTCTCGTATTCGGTGATGCGAGGTGGCTGAGAGCCCGACGCCACACCCTTGCCAGAGTGGTCTTCATGGACACTCTGAAGCTCAAGGTTGCTCGACTTGGTCTTCAGACTGTGCTGGCTGCTGACGCTCTCACGTCGCTTGCGCTCCCTATACGCCAACGTCTCGTACGCATCGGCAGCGCTCTGAGGTCCAATGGAAACCGAACGACCTCGAGTCGTAGGATTTCGGATACTCTCGACCATGCGAGGGAAGTCTGATGGTGACGGGAAAAGAGTGTCCAGGCGAGAGCCGGGAGGGACCGTCTTGTACTTGCTGGCAGGGGTGAAGAATCGTCGAGGCATGTTCATACCGACCTGCTCAAAGATTCGGAACGCGTGAGGCAGAAGCTTGAGCAGCAGAGGCTTCATCGTCTCACGCCATACAAAGATAATAAGAACGCCAACGACAATTCTCGCCACATTCATTCCCCAGCCCAGGTGTGTGATATCCACAGTGCCTCCGCCATGCGCATGAGTCTCCCAGGGATCAACTGCAATCTTGCCATACGTCCATGTACCGAACTCCAGGCCAATAACGACACCCGCAAAGGCGACGCTGTCGTCAAAACACGGGCAATCGTCCGCAGGTTCGGGGTGAATGCGCACGAGGATCAGAATAATGATGCCAGCCACCAGAGGCGCAACCCAGGAGCTCGAGTGCATATACTCGTCCAACGGGGGGCCGTAATAGAATTCAATCAGAGATATGCCGGCGCCCATGATGGAGCCGACTATGACGTCGAGAAAGCCATGCATGCCACAGTACAGGCGCCCAAACACAATCGACACTGCATAAAAGTAGGCGAGGAACTCGAGAGCGAATTTCGTGGTAGCAGGGAGGTTGTTTTCAGGACTATGCAATATCAAGAGGGCGTAGACGGCGACTGAGACAGCATTGGCGCTGTGAGTCGAGGGGAAACCGTATTCGAGAGCTGCAGAACCAGACATGGTAATTCGATGCAGGGGCGGCGATAGAGGGCGCGGGAGCGAGTAAAAGTCCTTGATGAATCCCGTCCAGAAGACACCTAGGGCCAGGATGTGGACGAGTCTGTACAAGTATATCAGCCACACAGCTCGTTAAACGGCGGGCTCTACAACGTCGATCGCGGGCTGTGGGCCAGAGTCTAATCGCAGTCGCAATTACACCAAAGCCCACAGCACCACGAGCTGAAACTGGGGTCGCATCGAGGTGCGGCGCAGCGCAGAGGGGGGAAACTCGAGATGAGGTGATGGATGACCTACCCCTTGCCAAAGGCAGCATATCCGCACCAGAAGCAGATGGGCAATCCGATCATGAAGAAGGTGTGAGTTCCAAGGTTCGCGGTGATGGCAAAGTAACTATCGAGGGCCGGAGTTCGCATCTTCTCCTGCATCCAGGCGAGGTAGGGCGTCTCCCAGCGGATCAGGGGGAGAGCCTGCTGGCGCAGAGTGTACCGCCATTTTGGCAGGGCGCGCTTGTCTGGGGCGGGTCAGTACAGGACACTTCAGGTCTCTGGCCAGACAAACAGTGATCGAGGCTCCTCAATCCGGCGTCGGGAACGTCGTCGTCTTTGGGTGTCGCAGGCGGGCTCGTGGTGGTTATTGTTGCGGTGGCCGTAGCGCCGAGCGGCGGCGGGGCATCGCGTCGCGGGTCGCTCATGGTTCAGTAAGGTTGTCGAGGCGAGGCGAGCGAGCGGGAGGGGAGGGGAGACGTCAATGGCGAGGGGGGGTTGAAGAGGACCGCGGGACGAGCTCGAGGAAGAGGAAGAGGAAACATTGAAGGACAGGCCAACGCTGGAAGGGTTTGGGGGACGGGACGACGCTGGAGCACGTGGGGGAACAAGGCCTTAATGGACAAGCGCCCTACCGTGGATGGAAGCCCAGTTGATGGTAGGATCCTTGGTGGAAGCACGACCGGAGGGAGTTTAGAGTGGAGTTTTTTTTTAAGTGATGAAGGATGGAGGTCGACGTAGACGTAGACGTCCACGTCTGTAATTAAGGATGGATGTCAGCACAATTCAAGCGTCGTCCAGTGACGGCTCAGCCATTGTGGATAATATCCGTATCTCGCGAAACAAAGAGCCGCAAGTTCTTCTTCTCATTAGGGCACTCCGTAAAAAGCCGTTGAGATTGTTCGTCAACCTTTTGACTCGCTCGTCTCCCACAAAAAAACCCAAAACGACACCTTGTCCCAGCTTCCCCCATTCAGCATCAACAGCCGAAGCAGGGAACGGGCTTTGACCATGAAACCCTTGTCCGCTATGGGGTGTCTCCCCCCTGGACCATGGAAATTGAAATCATGGAGGACCGAGGACCAATTAAGCCCTTGCAAGCTTTCTAACGCACAGAGGCACTGCTAAAGCGTACCTGTCAAGTAAAGAAACCATAGGTGTAATTACGACTGCTGGGCCGCTGAGGATATCTGTCATGACATGTGTTCGTCCAGGAACCGACAGCTTGGCGAGGGCTCCGAGACCATGCCACAATGACATTCCACCAGCCCTATTGGGGGCATTGAGGCATATATGGACCCAGCTCATGAACACCGACGGCAGCTATGGAGCTATTGCCGCAGTGATATTGAGAAAAAAGTAAACAACTTGAAGTTTCGCGTCGTGTTGAATGTACTGTACCAGTAGTAAACCACAAGTGCGTCTAGCTAGACGTGGCGCCAAATCAGTACTCCGCCCAGCTACTGCAACAAACCTCCACCCAAACCCATCCATCACCTATCGTCACAATACACATCACTTCCAATCACGCACCCATCACGAGCTCCTCCTTTCCAATGGCTCTTCCCCTGGCCGGAAAACACTGCGCCGTCGTCGGGGCCACCGGCCTCATTGGCTCCCGGATCGCCGCCGCCTTTGCTTCCCGCGGCGCCGTCCTCTCCCTGCTCGGCCGCTCCGTCCTTGACGCCCAGCCCCGGCTCGAGCCGCTTCTTACCCCGTACGCCCCGGGTGATGGCGGCGAGGCCAGCAGCAGCCCTTTGAGGCACCGCTTTATTCGTCTTGATGTAGCTAAGCGGGATACCATCAAGGGTGTGTTTGGCGGTCGTGATCATGTAAGTCGTCATGAGCCAAGATGCCCGCTTACCAACTGAGCCACTAACAATGTGGTCTCTTCTTACTTAAATAGACCCAAGATGATGCTGTAGGCCCCGTAGATATTCTTGTCAACTGTGCTGGCATCAGCCAAACCTCATTCCTAAAGAGGACCTCGGACGAGGAGCTTGGTGATATTATCGATACCAACCTCATGGCGACTATGCTCGTCTGTAAGCATGCCAGACTCCGTCCCCACGGTACACCACTCTCTAGCCTCAGCCATGTTCTTTAAGCTTAACTCATATGCATAGGATGCATCATCAACGTATCAAGTCTCATGGCCACAAAAGGCGGATCCGGTGCCACAGCATACGCTGCTTCAAAGGCCGGCGTCGTCGGTAAGTGCTTGATATCCCTTGATTTATCCCCCAACATACCCGACTATTGTACATTCCAAAATAAAACGCTCACTTCGCGTCCTCGCAGGCTTCACCCGTGCCCTTTGCCGTGAGCTTGGTCCTCGCTCCATCCGCGTGAACGCTCTGCTTCCCGGTTGGGTAGCCAGTCCCATGTGGGATCGTAAGTCTTTTTCCTTTTCCGCCCCGTCCTACCCAATCCTCCAGGCGCCAAATCGCCAATCGCCAATCGCAGAGAGGTCAGTGCTAATGTACAACACGTCGTTTAGACCTCAAGCCAGAATTACAGGCCGCCTTCCTCAAAGACACCCCATTGGGTCGTGTAGGCGCTCCTGAGGAAGTGGCCGAAGCCGCCGTCTTCCTAGCCTCCAACGCCTTTGCAAACAACTGCGTGCTAAACCTCGATGGTGGTTTAAGTGCTGCGTGACAAGGCGGTATCCAGGAATACTGATATCGCCAACTCGGATCATAGGTCCATCAGTCGTCGATGACAATCGCGCCGCCGGTCTCTTCGACGTCCACCACCTCGGGCCCTGATTCGACGAGCTTGGCCTTTTTCAGGGGCTGGCCACTGTCCTCAGCAAGCGGACGCTTGACGCCCTTGGGTTCAACTGACACGGCTTTTCCATTAAGCTCGCCGTTCCCATTCGCCTCAGCGGGCTGGGCCTTCTTGGGTTTTCGCGGGATTTGGGGTTTCTCCGTAAACGTAGCCTCGATGGGCTTCTTGTCCGCTTCGAAGGTCCTATAATATGTGAGCCTCATACCGAGCTTGATGTGAGGGTTGGCCTACCCGTCTTGAATGTTGATCACCACATTCACAAACGTGTCGTCATCGTCCTGGTCAATCACTGTCAAGAAGCTATCCTTTTTGACACCTGCCTTGCTGTTAGTTTTGTCCATAGTGAACAGGAATTTAATCGTCATACCAAGATCGCTAAGCTTCTTTGGAAGATTCTCGTCGTCACCATCCTCGAAGCACTCGACCAAAGTCCCCACGTCGTTGTTGACAACAAACTCCTTGCCCTCGTAGCCCAACTTATCCTTGACAATGTCGTCGACAATGTCCTGGAGCGTCGCCCGGGAAAGATCCACGACAACGCTGGTAAAGTACACGCTACACACTGGACACTCAGGGTTCGGCTCTCGTGACCTGTCAGGGGCCAACAGACGAGCTGGTGCGAATGGTGTCAAGAAGACCTCCTTGGACTGCGCATATTCTCCCTTCAGGACCTTGAAAGATTGGAGGACGCAAAGTCCAGCGACAATCGCATTCGTTGTCGCAATTGCGGGGATAATGTTGCCGGCCATCTGTTTCGTGTCGAACCGAGATTTTCTGTCGATTCCGAAAATTGTTGATCGAATGTTGGCGCTTGCGGCGACAAAGTCGAGAGTGTCAATGTCATCCTTGTCGAACGTGATGATGGGGTCGGAATCCTCAGGGGACTTGTTCTTCCTGAGCTCCAGGATTCGCTTGCTTAGTCGCTCCAGGCTGTCGTTGAAAACCACCAGACTTTCCTCAAGAGACCAAATTCGCTGGTCATCGTTGAGGAGGGTGTCCTTGATAGCGATGGCGTCACTAGCTTGGGCGAGAACGGCATCGTACTTGAGAGCCTCGGGGGCTCGTCGTGAACTCCACATACCCTCAACAGAGCGTAGTCGTTCAATGTCCGCGTTGAAAACCTTGTCGAACAGCATCTGGGGAAACTCAGAGGTGCCTACAGCATCTCGGATCTTCTTGAGAGCCTCCGACTCTTTCTTTAACTCCTCGATCTCCTTTGCTGTTTTTGATCAATACCCATTCTGACCTCGAAATTATTAAACCTACCATTATCGGCGTCTGTTGAGTGATCAAAAGCTGCTTGGTCTTCGCTGGTACCGAATATCTCGCTATCATCTCGTTAGCGAACGCTCCTATCTAACCTCGTTATACACACTTAAGAAGATAGCTCTTCCCCCAAACGATGCAGTGAATAGGTTGACTAGGAGTGCTCCGGATGGTGCACACGGGGAAGGACTTGGGTGCTTCCTTGGGTGTGCAGTCGTAGCACGCAGTAACGCCCTTCTTGATGACTTGAACCTGGCCATTGAAACCGGTGGTGCCACTCTCAATGAGAGGGACATCGGCAGCCAGGCACATCTTGTTCACATGTCTCCGAGCCTCAAGGTTGTCCAAAGCATTGAAGGCAATGCGAAATTGACGGAACCATGCGACAGTAAACTCGTCATCCTTGATGTTTCCATGGTGGGCGACGATCTTGACGTTGGGGTTGAATCGTTGCGCAGCCTCTTTGGCGACCTGCATTTCGGTTAGTGAACCTGGTATCATGGCGTGTGTCGCGGGCAAGAGGACGCACCAGGGCCTTGGACTTCTTGATGTGCTCGTGGCGGAAGAGGAATTGCCGGTTCAGGTTGGAGAGATCGATGGTGTCGAGGTCGACGATGTGAATTTCGCCGAAGCCGGTAAGCACAAGGTTCTTGAGTAGCTCGCAGCCGATGCCACCAGCTCCCACCATGAGCACGCGAGCCTGCGCAAACATTGTTAGTTGATAAAGAATGATGGACATGAAAGAAGTACAAGTCGCATATCGCGTGCCGGCACCGAAAATGCTTCGAGCCGTGGCATTCGGAAGGTGGCAGCGCGCTCAAAGTCGACGAGAGCCCGGCTTGCTCAAGGCGCAGAAACAGGAATTCGGGATCGACTGGGGTGGGCATACCTGTTTCACAGAGGTATTCAGAGACGCGCCGAGCGACTGGTGATTGTATCTGTCGCGCGACATGACGGGTGGTCGCCTTTGAGGCACGTTGGTAGTAGTCGCGGGAGCGGCAGCGGGTTGTGTTTGTGGAGGTTGTTGCTGTTGTTGCGTCGCAGAAGCCGGAGCTGGAGCTGGAGCCGCAGCCGAATCTTGAGGCGCACTCGTCGCATCCATCGTCATCGTCACCGCTCAGCAGACACAAAGGCCGGGTTGAGGGAGAGCAGCAACACGTTCTGGGGGCTTCGCATACGGTGTAGGACGATGGGGTTCGTGTGCTTTTTTTCGTCGAGATTCGCGATCGCTCGAGGTTGGAGGTTGGATGTTGGTGGTGAGAGCACGAGCTGAGAGATGAAAGAGCCCACCTACGGTACCCAGGCGCTGCAAGCAAGAGGTACAAAGGATGCGCCAGCCCAATTACGTCGACTGTTGGTGGCCGGGGGCCAAGCTCCTTGGGGCCGGTAACAGTGGGCAGACCCGCTTTGATTGGTCACCTCTGGCACTCCACCAAACTTCCAGGGCCTGACTCGGCGACCCGACGACCAGGCCTCCACTGTTTGATCCATGAAATAAGTGACGGCGACGAACAGGAAACATGCAGCGCAAGGACGAGCAAGCGGGAAGAGGACGGGAAATGTGTGATACAGAATTTCAGGTCAATTGGTCGTTTCTAGAGGTATCCAAAGCAAGAAGCTCTTCATCTCGTTTACATGTTTCAGCTAAAGCAGCCTTCCGCCCTCTTGGCAACTAAAGCCCAGTCGCTCTGTGACTTTCAGGAGAGGGTTAGGACTGTGACCGCGGGGTGGCTGCCCGTCGTCGGAGAAAAAAAAAGGGATCTCAGTCAAAGAAAGTCCAGACCGATGATTCAGTCAACTACCAACTTCCATTCCACCACATTCACTCCTTGACTCTTCTTTTCCACTCCTTCACTTGAACTTCCCATTCACTGAAACTCATAGAATAGGCTTTCAATTTTTGCCTATTTTCTAGCACCATGTCCGACGACGAGGTTGACACTGAGCTCCTCGAGCTCCTACGCCAACACCTTCAAGGCAAGGTGACAATCGAGGAAGAGCCCGAGACTGGCGTCCTCGAGAGCGCCGAGTATGTCTACGATTCTTGCATCGATGTTGCTGTCGACATGCGTGCCTCAAAGAAGGCCGCCGAAACGATATACCAGCAGATGCAGCAGAAGAGCTACTCAACTGCAACCTGGTCCGAGCATGAACTCCATCCCAAGGCCAAGGACGAGAGCACAGTCAACTTTATCTTTACCATGGATCTTCTAAACTTTTCTTTCTGGTCTGAGCTACCTGAAGATGAGAGGTTTGCAATTGAGTATCGCGGCAAGAGGTGGACTGGGTACTGGAGTTTGGTTGCGGCACTACAAAGGGCTCTTGATGAAGGTCAGTCGCATTCTGTCATGACAACTCGTCGGTGTTTCTAACTTGACATCTTCAAAGGCATCCCTATAACGGACCCTTTTTATTGGCAAAATGAGGACGAGTGTACTCTTGAATCTCTCAAGCACGTCTTTAGGTCGTGTACAGAAGAGGAGATCCCCCTCCTTCATGAGCGCCTTGACTGTCTTCGAGAGGCCGGCCAAGTTCTCGATCAGGTACCACTACACCCCTCTTTAGAACGCTCGGAAGCTCTAACACCGTTTCAAGAATTATGGTGGCTCCATTCCAGAGCTTATCTACGCTGCCGATGGTTCCGCAGCACGTCTCGTCAACCTTCTAGCCCAAGACTTTGACTGTTTCCGTGACGAGCACCGCTTTGAGGACGGCAAGATGATCCGTCTCATGAAGCGGGCTCAGATCCTCGTCGCCGATCTATGGGCCTGCTTCAACGGCGAGTCCTACGGCGAGTTCCGTGACATTGACAAGATCACCATGTTTGCCGACTACCGCATCCCCCAGATCCTCATGACTCTGGGCGCGCTGTACTGCTGTCCTGCGATTGCTGCCGCCATCACAGACAAGAAAATGATAGAGAGCGGATGCTCCTGGGAGTTACAGATCCGGGGTGAGTTATATGCAGCGTACAGCCAAGGTGCATACACTAACGCATAACAGCATGCAGTATCTGGTGCGTCGAGTTGATTCGACGAGAGATTCTACGCCAACACCCAGACGCCCACGTCAACGCCATCCTGATAGACTTTTTCCTCTATGACAGCATGAAGGAGTTAGAAGCTGCCGGCGAAGAACCTATTCCTCATCATCGGACAAGGAGTATATGGTACTAGACTCTTGACAAGGCCGCAAGGCTACTAACCTCTAGATCCTGGGAGTGTCACATAAAAATGGAGTTCGGGTTATAGATTCATATGTTCAACTGCTTCTTCACCATGATAGAATAAAAATAGTTCGGGCAAGAGACAAGGCCTCATTGGCAATCCATGACACATTCCCCTAAACGCCATGCTCCCATTCATTCCCCCATTACCATAAACGACATGAAAACAAATCAGCTCCCCACCGCAGTGGAGTTGAGAATTTCATCCATATGTGCCCTTTGAACCTTGTTACCCTTGGTCTCTTCCTTTAGGAGGACGGCAAGGACCTCAATTGGGGGGTTCAGACCAAGGCGCTCAGCTCGCTTCCATCGCTTCATACGAGGAGTGCCGATACAGGGCTGCCAATGTTTGTTAGTTACGCCTCATCGAGAGAACCAAGGTAACTTACTCCGTATTGCGAGCTAACATCAAAATATCGGAGGACCCTTTCGCTTAGCGATACACCCTGTTGATGCAACCGGGGAGAGGTCCACTGCTCTTCGATCGTCTTCCAATACTTCTTGATTTGCGCATCCGTAATCTGCTCCGCGCGCAGCTCGGCCTCGGACTTTTCTGGCTCTGGCACAACCTCTGGCTGTTCCTCCTCTTCGTCCACCTCTATAGGCTCAGGCTCTTCGACAACAGCCTCCTCGACCTTGGTCTGTTTTGGGGCCTGAGTGGGGTCGATCTTTGTGATGGAAGGCGAGATGATGGACTTCTTGGCACTCTTTGCCACATTCTTTGTCACTCTGCTCGAGAAGCTGGTGAGGGTGGACTGGCCCTTGGCAGGAGGGCCGCGACTGCGTGCACCGCCGGCTGATCTTCGAGTTGCGGGCATGTTGGCACTGTGATGGATGTATAGGTAGGTAGACGAGTGACGCTCGATGCTGCAGGTGTCGCAAGTATGGTGTAAGTCGGTGATGTCCTACTTTCGCAACAGATAGGTCAAGGTGGAGTGATAATGATCTAACCCGCAGACAGGTGTTAAATATGGGGCAATTGATGATAATTCTGTGTATAACCGGGTGCCTTTGATGGTGGGCGCAAGAGGTCAGCGGCCAGGATGGCTATGACGGGGGAGACAGCCTTAATATTGGCGGGGCAACGCGAGATTGATACGAGATCACGTGAATCTGCTCGTGCCTAGAGCCATCAATGATGTCGGACGAAGCTCTCATTATCGTCCAATAGGACTCATATCTATCACAAGATTGTATCTTTCATGAACTTGTTGCCCAAGGTGAAGCGGCGAGTCCTCATAGTATCGCGATAATCAACCACCAGTAGCCTCCCGGTAGAAAGACAAGCTCCTGTTGGCGCCTGCTGTGCAAAACATCTCGCTCCTCGTTGTCTTTGGTAGCCACTTGACCGACCATAGTGCCTTGTTCGTTTCGCTGTGCGTAGCCACACAAGCCCTGCGCTCGATTGACCATACCTTGGCCTTGCCATCCATGGATCCACTCAGAAGGTACTCGCCAGTGTCGCTCCAGTCAAGGGTCATGATCCATGACGTGTGGCCTGTCAAGTTTGCAGCATGTTCGCCATGCTCCAGGTCATAGAGTGCAATAATACCAGCATCTCCAGCGGCAGCAAGACGAGTGCTGCCTGGTGAGAAGGCAACCGCTCGCACAGGCTTCGCAAGGCCTAACGTCCATGTTAATACACCACTATGAGTGAAGAGCAGGGGACTTGCCAGAGAGTGAATACAGGATTCTGCCTGTGTTGTTGTTGAAGATGTAGACAGACCCGTCCTGGTGGCCGCTGGCAGTGTATTTGCCATCCCGACTCAAGTCCACAGACATGCCAAAGCTGCCCGAGCCACCGCTTCCAGTGTCAAACTCCCGAATCTTGGTCTTCTCCTCACCGGTGATGTCCCAAACGTTGACTCGCCCATCATTGGTTGTCGTCGCAAGATAGGCGCCGTCCTCGCTCAAGGCCAACGCCCAGATCTCGCCAGGCTTCGCTGAAGGTCCTGTGACCTCGCCATCAAGGCTCCATTCACCGGTATCCTTGTTCAGTTGCCAAATCTTCAGCTCGCCCCCAAAGCCAGCGCTGGCTGCAACATTTCCGCTGCGCGAGGTGCAAATATGGTGACACCCTAGCTTGTGGGCGTCAGGGATGGACTGCTTGAGAGGAATCGAGGGGTCAGTAGTATCGTGAATGTGCAGCGTCGAAGAGCCACTGGCTGATATCACGGCCTTGGGTGTTGCCGCGATGGAGTAAATGTCCGTGAGGTGGGCTGTGAGTTCTCAGTGACCAATTCTTTCAAGCCTCTCACCCCGCGGCGGGGAGGTCAAACTTACCATTATCCACGGTGTGCGTGGTCAAATATTGTTTCGACTGTAAATATTAGCCATGAATGAACAAGATAACTTTGCATGTGTCTCAATGCCCACCATTTCTCCCGCGTCAAGCCTTCCCAGCTAAGGATGTGGTTCGCAGAATTGTTGGATGACGTTGTGTATGAATCAAGACTCAAGGGTGAGCTGCGGATGCGAAGCCTTGGTGGGGCATCCGAGAGTCTTCTTCGCAGGGCTGAAGAAACAAACCAAAAAGCCCCAAACAGATCAAACAGCAGATGGTTACGTTCCAAGATGTTTCAAGACGGAATATTAGTCATTGGATTTCGCTTCTATTAAAAAGAGTTTTGAGCTTTTCCCGGCGCCATGGTGAGTAAACTATATTTGAGCAAGCAAAGTGTTGAGCAGAGTATGTCTAGATATCACGAGAATGGGCATAGGTTTGATGCTTCTTTCTTATTCTTATTTTGATATTCCTACAAGGCTCAAACGAGCCGAAACGCCCATGGCATGCACGATCCCGTGGTGACTATACAGACTCTTGTTACAGTATTGGTAGATCCTCGATAGGCTGTATCCTCTTTCACTTAGACCGACTGATCAGTTGGGTAGTCCTGCCTCCAAATGCGCTTCATTTCTGCATTTATAGTTAGCACTACAGTCTTGGCTTCTCGTGCAAAGACAGAGAAGGAGATCATACCCTCAAGACAAGTCTGGCATAACCGATGTGTTCGCTTGGTCTCGCCACAGCCGGGACATTTGCAAAGACTGTTCACATCCTTCAACGCCTTTCCAGCCAGCTGTCTGGATCTCTTTTTCGAGTGGGAGACCTTGTTCTTTGGCACAGCCCGCAGCACGGATTCCCAGATATCATCGATGGTGGGGAGGTTCAGAGAGACGCCAGGGATCGCAATCGACAGCGACGGGAAGAGCTTCTGTGTGAATTGGCGGAAGGAAACTCTAGACAGGAGGCTCGGGGAGGAGAGTCGGGGGAGGAGAGCGGCAGCCATCTTGACAGAGAGTAGGAAACGGAATTCGAGATGGTGGTGATATGTCGGGAAAGTCGATTCGGATGGTGGTCGGAGGAGTACACAAGCGGAGTCTGACCTCGAATGCGACTCGAAGTAATCGTAATAGTTCTCCGATTCCCAATTGCTTGCCTGTTCCGTAACAAGACAATGCGATCCGTCGTTAAGCCCAACCAAAGTCGCGATGATCAATTTGCACAAGGCTTCGATTCGATTTCCTAGCCTCAAAAGTCTGATGGGGGCTTCCTTCCCCAAAGTGCCGGCGGGCCAATCACGAGCTAGCGAGCGCACAGACGACATGCAACCAATTAGAAGCTCGAAACGCGGCTTCCCCCTTTCTTTCGGTCCCTGGACCTCCCTGCTCCCTGACACCTCCCTTCTAGCACGGAAATTGTTTGTTTGCTGGTGGCAGGAGCAGCCCAGTGCCCAGTGCCGTGCCCGAAAAGTTCCCCCCTAGCATACATCGTGTCCGACGCCGCCTCTTCTAATCCTCCAAACTTCCAGCTTTCGCTGCATCACCACACGTCACTTTGACCGTGCCAACTGCTCGCGCTCGTGTCCTCCTTGTGTCTCGGTGCTCCAGTCCTTCTTTCTTGGAATAGGCATCGACATTCCTCAAGCTTCAACTCTTAGCGCTTCCTTCACTACTCTCATCGACCAAGTGTCCTCGTTCAAGATGGCTGCTGTTCCTCCCAACACCATCTACCCCCAGAGCCATGTCGGTTTCGACAGCATCACCTCCCAGATCGAGCGCAAGCTCTTGAAGCGTGGTTTCCAGTTCAACGTCATCTGCGTTGGTAAGTCTTGACACCTCACCGTCTCCAATCGCGGCCGTGATCTATACCGCCCATCACCCCATGGTCGGTGATCTGGCAGCGCGTCCTCCTGGGTGCTCGTGTGCTAACCTCTGTTCGCATCGCAGGCCAGACTGGTATGGGCAAGTCAACCCTCATCAACACCATCTTCGCGTCCCACCTCATCGACTCCAAGGGTCGCTTCCAGCCCGATGAGCCCATCCGCTCCACCACCGAGATCCAGGCCGTCTCTCACGTTATCGAGGAGAATGGCGTTCGATTGAGACTCAACATTGTCGATACCCCTGGCTACGGCGACCTTGTCAACAACGACCGCTGCTGGGATCCCATCGTCAAGTACATCAAGGATCAGCACTCCGCGTACTTGCGCAAGGAGCTCACTGCACAGCGAGAGCGCTACATCCAGGACACCCGCATCCACTGCTGTCTCTTCTTCATTCAGCCCTCGGGTCACTCCCTGAAGCCCATCGACATTGTTGTTCTGAAGAAGCTTTCGGACGTTGTCAACGTCGTTCCCGTCATTGCCAAGGCCGACTCCCTGACCGTTGAGGAGCGTCAGGAGTTCAAGGAGCGCATCAAGGAGGAGTTTGCTTTCCACAACCTCAAGATGTACCCCTATGACAACGATGAGTTTGACGATGAGGAGCGCGCCCTGAACACCCAGATGAAGGTATGTATTGCTCCAATGAGACGCGCGCCAGGTAAACAGTTACTAACTGACACAGGACCTCGTCCCCTTTGCCGTCGTCGGATCCGAGAAGTCGATCATTGTCAACGGCCAGCAGGTCCGTGGCCGCCAGAACCGATGGGGTGTGATCAACGTCGAGGATGAGACTCACTGCGAATTCGTGCACCTGCGAAACTTCCTCCTCCGAACCCACCTCCAGGACCTCATCGAGACCACGTCCCAGATCCACTACGAGACCTTCCGTGCCAAGCAACTGCTGGCCCTGAAGGAGAGCAGCGCACACGGTGGTGCCAGCAGCCGACCCATCAGCCCTGCCGCCGACCGCGAGCTGAGCCGCAACTCGCAACGGATGACGATGAACGGCTACTAAGTCGACGACGTTTGTGCTTAAACTTGTGTTGGCGAGGGAGCAACGGCGTCTCTGGGCAGCTAGATAGCCCGCATTTGTTACGACTCTCGACATATTTCACGGCCTCATGTACAGCAAACCCAAAAGTAGTTGCTTTGTCGGGGGGTTACGGCGGTCACATATACTGTGATTAACCGACAAAAGGCCTTTTTACATCGTTTCGATGACGTTGACAGGCGAGCACGGGATGAGAGCAGGACACTTGGGGGCGTTTGCTAATGCTTGAGTGCCGACGGGATTGTCGGTTCTAATATGGCTAAGTCTCAGGAGGTGGTTCTGCCGGCTCAGTCCATGTCGAAGCTGTACGCGACATTTTTTTCATTTTCGTTCAGTGTTACCCCGAGCTATCTTGGCCTTTTTTATGTTTTAATCAGACCGGTTACCCCATACTCTATTATAGAGTTAGTTTCGTTGCCTAGGTACATAGTGTAGTGTATCAATTCCCACTGGAGTTTTTGACATGGGTGGCTTGTGTCCTGAATGGTGTGACAATATCTCGAGTTGTGTCCGCTGTTAAATAACGACTATCTGTCTTGTTTGGTGTGGAACATTTCCTGTTACCTTGACTCTGGTCCAAACAGGCTGCCTTTTGTGTTAGGTGGCTCGGTTCCCAGCTGGGAGAAGGTGTGCCACTCTTTGAGACGAAGACCGTGTATGACATGTGAGGTGGTCTTGGATTGTGACGTCGAACATTGGCTTCTGGCCAGTCCTCGTAAGTTCTCGTTGGCTAGGTACCTATGTAGATGGTTGTCAAAGTTGGCTGTCTATGATAGGTAGTTAACGGTGTTATTGGTGTTGGTGTTGGTGTTGATGTTGTGGCAGGGTGGGATATATGGACATTGCGCAAGGCCCAAACGACCCGATACATTAGACGGGAACTAAACAGATACTCATGGAATACACAATCTGTAGCCTTCCAACTGCATGGATAGGTAGCCTAACCGTCGACTTCTTTGCCAGAATTGGTGCAGGATCGATGGTAATCGTGATACTCGATTGGCCTGTCATTTGGTATAGGGTATGACCTTGAGAAATGAACCACAACCCATCTCTGGGATCAACGCAGTAGCATATGCAGACAACTCGTACTATGGCTCTCAGATCGCAAGGTGACTTTGTCATGGTTTCTCTGTCTTCATAACTCATTCACTCTAGATGGTGGCTCTATGAGTGATGATGGGTATATGGGCAATATGGTGAGGTGGGACTCGTAGCAAGATGAGTAGCCGGGCATGAAATCAAGAGAGTCACAAGGCTGGAACTCACCGACAATGGCATTGATACTTACCTAGTCAAATATGCTACCGAGAGACATGAGACTAAAAGACGGGATATACACCGCAAACGGTCATTCGCCGAAAACCTCATCAACAGGCTGACGATCCCGGATCTGTCGGAGGGATGCTTCAAGATAAAGAGGGTCGGCCGCAAAAGGGCCCTGCATGATCCCTGCAAAAGGTGGTTTCACCTGTCCGAGTTTCATCAATGCGAACAATACTAGCGATATTGAGACGCACAGTCTGCATCTTATTTATCCGATACATGAAAGATAATTAGCTAGTGCTGGTGCAAGTCTTTGAGAGCAAATGATTCATGGAAAAGCGTCCAATAGAATGATGCAGGGCCAGATACTCGGCCCCAGCCGACACAGGAAACCTCAGATAGAGCCCCCGAGGGGACCATAGGTAGATAGCGACACGGAAACAAAGAAATCTATTGGGAGCTGGCAGGCGGAAGCAATCGTCCAAAGAAGACGGTCTGAAGGCCAGTCACTGGACTAGAGTAAGGGGTGGTAGGACCCTTGCCCTTGCATCGACAGGGCATGAGGTGACCTAGCTCGATGGTGGTGGTTCATTTATGGGCAGCCGGTAGCCAAGCTTCGAAGCGCCTGGGCGAGATATCGTGACTATTGGATGCGGCATGGTGGCACACACGGCGGAAAGTAACCCTTAATGAGACTGGGAAAAGGGGGCACACAACCAAGGAGATACACAGGCGCCGGAATGAGAGACAGATCTGGATCACCAGCGAGTTTAAACATGAGACATTAGCCTGGGTCATTCGCTTCTCTGACGCATTCGACTCTGAATGACTTGTTGTTGCTCAGCACCAGAATGCATTTTCGGGTAGAAAGCCAGTCTCGGACGGAGGTTACACGGGCAATCTTAAACAACCCAGTAGAGTATCATTTATACCGACTTGGGTCGGTGGAACAGCACGTGGTCTGCTTCAACATGAAGGACGATACTCCGTAACTGACCGTCAAATCTCCCTCTCGCCGCAAACAAACAAAAACTATGCCGGGACCTGGGAGCCATCACCCGAGACTTACTATTAGGCCAAGGTCTCGGCGGCAAACCCAATCTTAAGAATATGATGGAGATCGTCGAGGCCATCACGTAGACCCATGCCTCACCGACAGGAGCCAAGACGAGCCGCCGAGCTTCAACTGCGACGCCGAGGAAGGCGCAGCGACGGTGAAGGAGAGTGAAGCCCAGAATGAAAGTGAGAGTCGCGACAAGTGTCTGGATGTGAAATTGTCAGTATACGTTTTGGGAATGGTGGCAACCAGCCCCCGGGGCGGGCCCTGGATAAAACGTGGTGGGACCAGGAACGCTCCAACGGCGATTCGTCACTGGGAGGCGGCCAGTGGTTGAGGACTCTCCATGGCGTCCAGTGGTCTTCTTTCTTCGCGCCCAGAAGACGGGACCGGTCTCAGTGGCACTCGCCAGTGGCTGGCCGCCATCTCTCGTATGGCGTCGGCGCAGGGTCTGGGCATGACCGGGGTCGGGGGCAGTAGGGGACCCCCATGACAGCCAAGGGTCCTTAACTGCATCTGGCAAGAGGAAGAATGATGATATGAGACGTGACCTTCTATGGTGTTGAGGCCTGTTTGTTGTCTTCTGTAGAGTTCCCGTCCATGTAAAGTACGGCGGGGATGGAGTCGTTCAACCTGGTCAAAGTCAAAGCCATGACCATAGCCAAGACCATAGGCCCCTCCACTTCATGCTGGTTAATGCCCAGAATGCCATGCCTTGCCTTGGTCTTGGCCGCAATAGACTCGCTCGAAATGTGATCAAGGAGTCCATCCATCCATCGTCGGGAGACCGTTCCCGTTTCGTATTTGAGCTTGCCTCTATCCGCTGTGCTTTGCCGCCTCCGTCCCGCTTGTGTCTCCAGTGTCTCCGTCCTTGTCACTGTCCATCACCTTCGACTTTAACCTTCTTCTTTTTTCCCTTTTTCCCTCTTCCCAATTTTCTCTCCTACCAACTCCATACGCTCCTTCCATCAAACGCCCAGTCCATAGTTCGGATTGTGGTTCTGCCTTTCGATTCTTTGTCGCTCATTCCTTTCGCGACTCTTGCGCCTTTTGTTGTGCTCACCATTTGCCTCTCTCAACACCACCACCACCAAAACAATCGACCAACGTGAACTGACAAGGAGCTATTTGCTTCTCTTGAGATCGCAAGCACCTGTATTCGACTTTATTTCGCTTTTTTTGAAAACACACCACCCGTGAGCGCTATAGTAGCTACATAGTCGCCATGCTTGTAAGTTGGATCTAGTCGCATCGCATCGCGACAGACGCACCCCGCTGCTCTCATCCGTCATTTCGGCCACTGACATGACCCATCTAGATCAACGCTGCCCTCATGGCCCTTGGGGCCACGGTAGTTAGTGCCGTCACTCCCCTCGAGATCCAGGGAACCGACTTCATCAACCCCGAGACTGGCAACAAGTTCCAGATCGTCGGAATGGCCTACCAGCCCGGCGGCAGCGCCGGGTACGATCCTCAGACTGGAAAGGATCCTCTGAGCCACAAGGAGGAGTGTCTCCGAGATGCTGCTCTGATGCAGATTCTTGGTATCAACGCTATTCGCGTCTACAACCTTGACCCCAACATCAACCACGACGAGTGCGCCAGCATCTTCAACGCCGTAAGTCGTCAACATAACATCCGTGGGGTCCGTTAACTAACAGTATGCCCAGGCCGGCATGTACATGATGATTGACGTCAACTCTCCTCTTCCCGGTGAGGCCATCACCTCCGAGAACCCCTGGGAGAGCTACTACACCGAGTACCTCAACCGCACCTTTGCTATCGCCGAGGCCTTTGGCAACTACCCCAACACCCTTCTCTTCTTCTCGGCCAACGAAGTCATCAACAACATCGAGACCGCCGAGGTTGTCCCTCAGTATCTCCGTGCCGTCACCCGTGACCTCAAGGGCTACATCAAGAACAACCTGAAGCGCCAGATTCCCGTCGGTTACTCCGCTGCTGATGTCCGCGAGGTCCTCTGGGATACCTGGAACTACATGCAGTGCTCTGAATCCGGCGATAAGAACGACATGAGCCGTGCTGATCTCTTTGCTCTTAACTCGTACTCGTGGTGTGGTCCTGAGGCTACCTACAAGAGCTCCTCTTTCGATAAGCTTACCGAGGGTTTCAAGGACACTTCTGTTCCCGTCTTCTTCAGCGAGTATGGCTGCAACAAGCCCCAGCCCCGTTACTGGAACGAGACCCAGGCCATGTACGGATCGGAGATGACCCCCGTCTTCTCTGGTGGCGTCGTCTACGAGTACACCGAGGAGGACAACAACTACGGTCTTGTCCAGATCAAGGGAGACACTCTCCAGATTCTCGGAGACTTCAACCGCCTCAAGAACCAGTTCGCTAAGATTGACTGGAAGGAGGTCCAGTCTCAGCCTGCCAGCAAGAGCGCCCCCAAGGGCCCCGCCTGCAAGGCCAGCATCATTGAGGATGAGGGCTTCGACAGCAACTTCACCCTCCCCGCCTACCCCCCTGGTGCTGACAAGCTCATCAAGAACGGCATTAAGAATGCTCCCAGCGGCAAGATCATCAAGATCTCGGACTGGAACGTCAAGCTCACTGTCAAGAACGCCGACGGTACCGAGATGAAGAACCTCAAGGTCATCCCTCTCGCCGACGACGAGTCGAACGCCGCGGGTAAGAACGAGGCCGACACTGGCAGCGAGACTGTCGAGAACAACAGCACCAGCTCGGACAACAGCACCAACAGCGATGACGAGGAGGATGCCGCTGGCCTCAACCGACCCATGATGTGGGCTGTTGCCATTCCTCTGGCCGCCATGATGTTTGCTCTGTAAACGGCACATGGGTGAAATGGGAGCGTAGGAAGGAGATTAGGGGAGAGCATGATTTAAGCATTTGGTGTTTGGAGGGGAGTTACGTGCGCATTTTACTTCTCGAAAGATGCAAAGAGTTACACGATACCAATCGTCTGTCTTCACTGCGATAGGGAGGTGAAAAAGGGCGATTTTGCTTCTCAGGTTTCTTGTTCCAGTGCCTGATTTGATTAGAAGGATCCTTGATGTTTCCCAGGATCCGAATTGATTGCAATCAATACAACCTTGACTACCTACTTGTGCCCTGTTGTCTCGTATTGCCGTGTCCAACATTGACCATGCTTGAGTGACAAGTTGATCAAGATGGAGTGACGATTGCACGAGTAATAAGTCACCAGACAGCAAAGACATTTCAGGCTCCGACTTGCATTGCTATCAAATTATAGCTGGCTAGTGAGCTCCGAGGACGACCCGCGTCCAATGTGATAAGGGGATACCCCAAGGACTATCAGAGTCCAGTGTCGTAAAGTCATGCCCAGGCGATGACCAGCGCCCAGTGTGGTAACGTGCTATCGATGCAGTAAAGTTCATTCCATGTTCACCCCCTGTGTTTCCCGCTTGTGTTCCTCGTGTATCCCTCCTCGTGTGTTTACCTCAATCTCGTCTTGTAACGAGATCCGTGCCGTACCAAAGTGTGCAGTGAGTAAGTCATGCTCGACATCACCGCGCTGGATCAAGTTCACCAGAGCCAGGAAAAGAGAGTGGCAACTGTCGACACAAGCCATGGTCAGTGTAAGAGCGTTCACTTCTTCGAGGGGGACTCACACCAGGATGGCTTAGGCTTCTTTTCCTCGGACTTGTCAGAGTCCTTGGATCCTGCACCGTTCTCAGGAGACTGGCGAGTCTCGGAGGTGGTCGTAGCCTGACGGCCACTGTGGGATGTCGAATCGGAGGTGTTCCGGGAAGAAGTTCCACGCCCACCTCGGTTGTTGGAGTTGTTAGTCGTAGCGGCAGGCGTAGCGCTGCTGGACGTATCCTCCCAATCCTCGAGTCGACGCCCTGGGTAATATTCGCCAAGACTCAACCCGGGATATATATCACGGTCATAGTCAGGCCGGAAAACACGGCGACAGTAACATGCCCCGCACGCATCATGATTACCAACGTCAAGTGCGCGACAGCACTTCATACAACAGCCAGGGCCATTGTAGACCTCATCATCTTCATAGTTGTAGTGAGACATTGCAGAGAGCTGCCGCAACGTCAACAGGGCTCGTGGTAATGGTGGAGAAGGGGCGAAGTGCTTACCTTGATGTGATAGATAACAGTGAGAGATCACTAAGACAGTTGGGCACTTGAGCCGGTACAAGGAAACTGTCACGGGTTGGTACATGAAGAGTGACGGTAGGGAAGCATTGAAACTGACCTTGTCGGGTCTTGGTAGCTGCTGACAGCGGAGTGTCAGGGGAACGAGGTGTGAGGCGGTACAGAGTGCTTTGCAACATGATGAGCAGCAGGAAAGGGAGCACGAAGCTGGGAATCATACCAGTGAAGAACTGAGGACAGTCAAGTCAGAGAACCGACTTGGTGAGCGACAGCTCGGGGAAATGGGGCGAGCCCAGGGGCGACGTGAACGTTCCATAGACGCAACGAGGACCCAGCAAGGGCAAGCGTGAGAGGAAGAGTGTATGCGTGAAAGAAGTAGACGAGCGAGGACAGGAAAGAGGAGCGTGCTTGTGCAGACGGATCGAGTGTTGAAGAAGATGAATAGAAAGAGAATGAAAAGAGGACAGCGTTTGTCTGGGGGAGGAGAAGGGTTTTTGTATTGTCCCAAAGAACGACCCGCTTGCCTCACGGCATGACATCCACCTGCCGTGCATACTCTGAAGAGTCCTGGCGGCGTCCTGCATTTTCAGGCGTCTTAGGGTCTGCATTGCGTCAACACCAAGACACTGGATGTCTCGGCGGCGGGAGCGTGATAGGCCGTCGACCCCTCCGTTCGCCGTTCCGAAGGGACCCCGGCCGCCTATTGTGGGAAGGTCCGATCCGTTCGGTACCACGGGCGCATGACTTCCCAATACGTAGTTGCCTCCTTCCTTCGTTTGCAGAGGCTCACCCCCTCCTTTCACCCACGCCTTGGGTCTTTATTGAGGAAGGAGGTCATCATGGGACGGGTCACTTGAGTCTCAACGATGACTCAACACTGTCACACGGACCAGTTCGTCTGGTTTAAGAGGGAAGGAGTCGTCCTTAAAGCGGAGGAGCTGAGCTTGGATGCAGAAGGAGCCTGCACTCCCTGGGCGACGAGTGGAAGATTCTGGCGAGAAAGGGGACATGTTTCGATCTTCGAGGCAGGAGCCATGCTGGGTACATACGGAACTCGGCTATCCATGGCCTGATATTCAACATCCTACCTATGCGGAAGGTCCAATCTCGTGGGAATGGTTACGCAGACCATGACGAGGAGCTCACTGCAGACTTGAGGTGTGTGGTGGTACAGCAAGCCTCACAATGAGATGGGCGAATAAGAGATATCCGGCTCCTGTTTCAGATATCATGTAAGTGGGGGTTGAACGGGACAAACGACCAAGGGGGGAACTCGTTTGCTCGAAATGGGATAGAAGGAGAGAACAAACCAAGGACGAGAGAGCCTCATGCAGCTGGGCAAACGCATCAAAAAACAATAAACGCAAACGCAAGCACACAGAAGAACATCATCATGAGTGTCATCAAATCTATTAGCTTTCTTTCCGTCATAGAATACTGCCATACACGGCTTGGTTGACCCCTCATCATCGGCCCCAAGCCTGGGAATTGCATCATCCGTTCTATCTTGCAGTACAAAAAGTCGTTCACTCCAGGTATCTTGTATATACCCGCGCCATCCCTTTATACCCGACTGACCACCCGGTCAAGATCTCTTCTCCTTTAACCCTGGAACTCCTGCGCCTTGCTCTCCTCCCACTTTCCGGGGATGAGAGCCAGGGGCACGATACCGGAGACGTGCATCTCAGGGCCAAAGATCTTGGCGTTGAGGCCGAGCTCCTGGGTAGCGGCCTTCATGTTCTTGAGACCCTCCTGGTAGTTGGGGCCAGCACGTCGCACCCAGATCTGGACGTTGTGCTCGTTCAGCTTGGGAGCAAAGTCCCGCAGCGCCCGGATGACACCCTTGAAGGTGCTGGCAACGTTGGTGAAGTTGGCAATACCACCACCGATGAACAGGACCTTGCCCTTGTCGGACTCGGGAGCACGGAGAAGGAGGTCAAGGACGGTTCGGGCATAGTGGTAGGTCTGGGACTCGGTGGGAGCACCAGAGTACTCGCCGTAGTTGGCGAGCTCATCAGCAAAGCCGGCAGAGGCAATGGCATCGGCGTAGACGACCGAGGCACCACCACCAGCGACCAGAGTCCAGATGCGACCCTTGGCGTTGAGGACGGTAAGCTTGAGAGAAGCACCAGTCTTAGCATCGAGGTCAGCGATGTAAGCCTCCTCCTTGGTCAGCTCACGGCCGAAGGGGGCAGGGAACTCCATGGGAGGACCAGCATCGATGTTGACCTTGTCGCCGGTAGCAGCGGCGACGTTGGTGAGGCCAAGGGCAGCAGGAGATCGGGCAATAGCCCACTTGACACCACACTCAAAGTCGGCAGTCTGGTCGAGCTTGGCAGCAAGATCCAGGAAGTGGACAGCAGCAGAGGTCTTGTCCTCGTTGGGGATCACCACCAGGGGGTTGATCTCGAGGTAGGTGAACTGGCAGTCGACATAGACGGCATACAGACGGGTGATGAAGTCGACGAGGACATTGTGGACGCCCTCGGGGACGTTCTTGAGGAGAGTAGCAGCAATCTCCTCGTTGGAGGGGTACTCGGCGAGGTCAACGGGGATCAAGAGCTTCTCAGCCTTGGCGTCAACATCACCGACATCAACACCACCCTCGTGGGTGAAGAGGATCCAGTCGCCCTATGGTCAATCAATATTAGTAAAAGCTCACACACGGAGATGGATCGGTGGTCCGGAGCGTTCGGTAGATTTCCGACGGAGGGGCCCGAGCAGGCCAGGGGGTGGTTCCGAAGGGTCCTTATCGCGGCATCCGTTCGCCCGTCGGTACAAAACAATGATTACCGGCAGAGCTTTTGAACGAACCCACAAATCCAGACCAGTTCGACTCTTGCAACGCCAAAATCACGAATACAAGTTGCCACAGGCCCCTTTCTCCTCCTGAACAATTTCCTTCTCTTGTCTTTTTTCATTGACTCCCTGGTGAGCCTTGCTGTTGAGACCCCCGAACACTCGTCCGGAGTACCAACCCAATTCGGAATCAAGATCTGAGGAACAAGAAACTTCAACTTACATCGCGGACCGAGTTGATGTTGATGTAGTACTCGGTGTCTTGAGGGTGAGGGACGAAAGGCTCAACGAGGAATTGCCTCAAGACGCCAGTGGTGTGCTCAACCTGCTGCTCCTTGCCGGCTCGCTCAGCAACCCAGGCCTTGGCCTCAGGCCAGGTCTTGTTCAGGGCAAGGAGACCACTCTTTCCTCGTCGCTTGATGAGCTGATCGGGCTTTGCGACGAACTTGGCGTCGGTCTGGAGGAGCCAAGGGTAGGTGACCTCGGCCTGGTTCAGAATGTCCTCGACGTTGGCATCCTCGGGGAAGTACAACGAAGCCAGTCTGGTGGGAGGGTTGTGCTTGGCGGGAGGAGGAAGAGGGCTCGGCTTGATGACGGGAGCACGAGTGAGGTGGTAGTTGAGGATGGCCTTGCCGTCGGCCTCGAGGATCGACTTGGCGGACATTTTGGATTATGAGAATGGGAGATGAACGGGGAAAAAAGGTGAGTATGGAATGAGCTGGCAAGTGTCTGCTTATTCCTTTTTTCTTGTTCAATTCTAGACCGAGGAAGTTGGTCAGCGGTCGAGTTCGGCGACAAATGGATGGATGACGGCTCGCAAGTGCGCAATTGAGTTGCAAGTTCAACTTCAAGATGGAGCTGGAACTACAGCCAAAGCTACTCGGGCGCAAAGATTGGATATTACGAGGACGAGTCTGGCGCAACAATCAAGGCCTCAGGGAAGCAATTGCGGTTGCGATTGCGACAAGTTGTCCAAATTGCACGATGCGAGGGTCGGCGGGGAAGAGCTCACTCACCACTGAAGCGGGCTGCGACAATGAAGTTGAAATTGGCGATTGAGAAGAACTCTGCAACAGGAAGCGAGAAGCAGAGATTATGACGACGAGATGAAGGCGAAAGAGGAGGAAGGGAGGATGCTTCAGGTCAAGACGATGAGAGGATGAGAAGAGCAAAGAAAGAGGCGGGACGCACTGAGTGAGGTGAGCTCTCTCGAAAAAACGAAGCTCCCAGGATTTTGGCGCCTCAAAGGGGAAGATGCGGGTGGAGTGGAGGGGTTGGAAGGGGGGGAGGGGGCGCGACAACCTGGCGGGCTCTGGGGCGGGCGGTCAGTCTGTACCTTGGGTACCTGGAGTGACAAGCTCGGCCAGGGCGTGGCCGAGGTACCTGGGCCCTGGAAAACCGACATACCCGCGGTCGCCAAAAATTCATTGGGGACTGTCATGGCTGCCCGCCTGAAAAAGCGATGAGCTCACTCTGCGACATTCGAGGTACCGGTACATGTCGCCTTGTCACTTTGGCCCCCATGCTGAGGACATTGGATGGAAGCTGTTGAGGACCAAGTGGACCAGGGGCGACACCTTACGTACGACTAGTTGACTCGACAAACCGCCGAAAACCGCAGCAACCATTTTGCACGCTACCTACGAATGGAACCCAGGTCAATTTCCCGAGACGGTGCTCATTTGCCCAGGAGCTTCTATCAGCTTCTCGGCATTATTCTTTTCTCTGCACTTTCTTTTGCGGGAGAGGAAAGTGTCGACGTTGACCGGCAACCAAACCGTTGAGCGGGGAGGTAGTCTGCGGGAGCGAGCACCAGGGCAGGGCAGGGCAGGGCATCCAATGCAACCTGGGTCAAGGCTGGGGAAGTTTCCCGTCCCTGAGATAGGGAACGATTGGCTTCGGGTCCCGGGGATGGCTTTAGCGGTCGCGCCGGGTCTCAGAGCCCCTGATCAGACACCTTGAGCGCCACGAGGGCGACGCGAGACAAGTATTCTCATGTTGCACGCACGCTGCGGTGACTGACCGACCTTGCGGTGAGTCGAGGTGAGGTGAGCTTAAGGCAATCATCCTTGACCCGACTGGAGGCTCCTGCCCATGTCCGGGCGCTGAGCAGATGGAAGGACGCACGGTGGCTGTTTTAGCGGGTGGTCAGCCCGTGGGCGCCACCCCCGACCTGAGGTACCCTGACCTTAGCCGCTATGCCCCTCCATCCCCCTCCAAGTGGATGGAAGCTCTCACTCGAGCTGTTCCATGGACGATCCAGTCCACTCTCACAAGCCCACAATGGCCGGCTGGCTACGGGATCAGAGTCTTTTTTATTGCATCTACCTCCGACATTCGGTGGAGGTTTTTTCTGGCACAAGCGTACCTTATTGGAACTTGATGTTATCTGTGGAACATGAGTCGGAGGGATCAGGAGAAGACAGTGGCTTCATCCCGCAGAGGCTGACCGTCGAGTTTCATTTCTTGGCGACACACCAAGCCAGGCGGACCCTTGTGGGAAGCCAGCAACCCTTGGTCTCGTCCATCTCTGCACCGCGCTGCAGCTTGACCAGTGTCCGCCATTTCATTCACTCTGTATCATCCCTGAAAAAGGGCATGGGATTGGGAAAAGATGACATGCCACCACACCACCAGCAAACACACAAGCGAGAGCTGACTGTTCTGCGGTGGCTTACTGGCCGCCCTGCCTCCTGAAATAGGGGCTTACGACATCCCGAGGATGCCTTTCAGGTTCATGCCGACGATCTGGTGAGATCTTCAACGACCATGGGCAATACAGGGAATGGGGTTGGCCCCCAGCTGGAGGCCAGATTAACCCCTCGTCTCACGAAACCCGGGCGAGCATCCTTCTTGTCTCTCCCACCCGAAACCAGAGACAGAAAAAAATCCGCATGGGCTCGGCATCAATCGTTTCAATGGGTCCCGTCTTGGATTGCAACGATTCACATCAACGTCTTGCAAGGTCTTGGGGCGGCTATGGTGGGGGACAAGCCGCTATCGACGCCTGGAACTGGCAATGGTCCCCTCACGCCAAGTACCGGTACCTGGGCTTGGAAGCTTGACAAGCTCAATCGCAAACCACAAAAAGGGACATGGATTCAACAGATCAACAAGAAAAAAAAAAGAGGACCCCGACTACAAGCGAATCCCCAAAGAAAAGCTGGATCTCTTCCCCAACTGGCTGGATGGTGAATTCATGCACCATCCATGACGGGAGCCATTGGCCGTTCGCAGGGAAAAGCTGAGGCTAGTTAATTCCATTCCAGGTCAGACGAGGTATTTCCTACTTTGGCAATTAGAACAGATTGCCTTGATGAGCCCTCGACACGACCCAATTGTTGGCCCAAGGGTGAGGTGAGCAAATCCCTCTGGCTTTTGCTTTTGGTGGTGTTGTGTTCTGCCTCCGAAAGCGCTCTCAAGTGGTTCAATGGATGGGTGAGAAATCTGGCGCATGTGGTGGCTAGTGCCAGGTACTTGAGGTACATGTTGCTGCACCGGGGGTCCAGCAGGGGTATGGTCCCGAGCATGTACCTGAAGTACCCGCTACCCGACCCCAAGCCTGCCATGTCCCAGCGGCGCCAGCCCGCCAACCCCACTAAATTTTTGTGGTGTGGGTGACCTCAGGTACCGCGGCCTCACTCATCGATCCCAGCAGGTGCTCTCCATCCCCGCCAGCTGCCGACAGCTTTGACGAGCCCGCCCGCCAACTTGGCCGTCCAGTAGAGAAACGTCCCGCCGTCTTTGACCCTTGAAAGTCAACCAAAAAACCAAGCCCAGTTCATTCCTCCTGAATTCTCACTCACCTCCTCCCCGCCCCCTCGTCCCCTTCAACTGTCGCATCTCCTCATCCTATCCTCGAGCGTTTCTCTCGTCCATTGCTCCTTCCTCTTTTTCTCCTCATACATCCTTCCTCCTCTCCGTCTAATTCCTTTGAGGCAGCACTTCCCCCGGAGCTCAAAGCGTCTTCTTCCAGCTGCTGACACCATCTTCTGGTCCCTCCAGCGCTCAAACCTCCAGATCTCTCCATCTACACACAAGCGAGCTCGACATTCACCATGGCTCCCGCTTCCTCCAGCAGCCTGTCGGCCAACGACAACATCCAGCGTTTCCCGGCTCCCAGCCGGCCGCTGAGCCCTCTCCCCGAGCATGCTCTCTTCACCGGCAAGACGCGATGCTTCGTCTACGGTCTCCAGCCCCGAGCCGTCCAGGGCATGCTGGACTTCGACTTCATCTGCAAGCGCGCTAAGCCCTCGGTTGCCGGTATCATTTACACCTTTGGCGGTCAATTCGTCAGCAAGATGTACTGGGGCACCAGCGAGACTCTGCTGCCCGTCTACCAGCAGGTCGAGAAGGCCGTGAGCAAGCACCCCGACGTTGATGTCGTTGTCAACTTTGCCTCGTCGCGAAGTGTCTACAGCTCCACCATGGAGCTTATGGAGTTCCCCCAGATCAAGACCATTGCCATCATTGCTGAGGGTGTCCCCGAGCGAGTAAGTTGAATCAATTGCGCTCCAGAGCTTGAGCAATTGCTAACGCAGTCCCCAGCGAGCTCGCGAGATCGCTCATGTCGCCAAGAAGAAGGGCGTCACCATCATCGGCCCCGCCACCGTCGGTGGTATCAAGCCCGGCAGCTTCAAGATCGGTAACACTGGTGGTATGATGGACAACATTGTCGCCTCCAAGCTCTACCGCAAGGGTTCCGTCGGCTACGTCTCCAAGTCTGGTGGTATGTCCAACGAGCTCAACAACATTATTGCGGGCAACACCGACGGTGTCTATGAGGGTATTGCTATTGGCGGTGACCGATACCCCGGTACCACCTTCATCGACCACCTGCTGCGATACCAGGCCGACCCCGAGTGCAAGATCCTCGTCCTCCTTGGTGAGGTCGGTGGTGTTGAGGAGTACAAGGTGATTGATGCCGTTAAGCAGGGCATCATCACCAAGCCCATTGTCGCCTGGGCCATTGGTACCTGCGCCAGCATGTTCAAGACCGAGGTCCAGTTCGGTCACGCCGGTTCCTTCGCCAACTCTCAGCTTGAGACTGCTGCCATGAAGAACGAGAAGATGCGTGAGGCTGGCTTCTACGTCCCCAACACCTTCGAGGACCTCCCCAACGTCCTCAAGGAGGTCTACGACGGCCTTGTCTCCAAGGGCACTATCGTCCCTCAGCCCGAGCCCGTCGTTCCCAAGATCCCCATCGACTACTCTTGGGCTCAGGAGCTTGGCCTTATCCGAAAGCCTGCTGCCTTCATCTCCACCATCTCCGATGACCGTGGTCAGGAGCTCCTCTACGCCGGTATGCCCATCTCCGACGTTTTCAAGGAGGATATCGGCATTGGTGGTGTCATGTCGCTGCTGTGGTTCCGCCGCCGCCTGCCCACCTACGCCTCCAAGTTCCTCGAGATGGTTCTCATGCTTACTGCCGACCACGGTCCCGCCGTGTCCGGTGCCATGAACACCATCATCACTACCCGTGCCGGCAAGGACCTCATCAGCGCCCTTGTTTCTGGTCTGCTGACCATTGGTTCTCGATTCGGTGGTGCCCTTGACGGTGCCGCTGAGGAGTTCACCCGGGCTTTCGACAAGGGTCTCAGCCCCCGTGAGTTCGTCGACAGCATGCGCAAGGCCAACAAGCTCATCCCCGGTATTGGTCACCGAATCAAGTCGCGAAACAACCCCGATCTGCGTGTCGAGCTTGTCAAGGAGTACGTTCTTGCCAACTTCCCCAGCCACAAGCTCCTCGACTACGCCCTCGCTGTTGAGACTGTCACCACCTCCAAGAAGGACAATCTTATCCTGAACGTCGATGGCTGCATCGCTGTCTGCTTCGTCGACCTTCTCCGCAACTGCGGTGCCTTCTCTGCTGAGGAGGCTGAGGACTATCTTAAGATGGGTGTTCTCAACGGTCTCTTCGTCCTCGGCCGAAGCATTGGTCTGATTGCCCACTTCCTCGACCAGAAGCGCCTGCGCACTGGTCTCTACCGTCATCCTTGGGATGATATCACCTACCTCCTCCCCAACCTGCAGCAGGGTGGCGGCGCTGAGGGCCGTGTCGAGGTTTCTCTTTAAAGGAATGCGGAAAACAGTAATGCAATGGGGGATAAGAGGCTGGGTCGTGCAATGATGATTTTGTGACGACCTTCATAGACGTGCCGCGGAAGACGGTGGTCTGTATGAGATTTCCAATACAATGTAACTAGTGCAGGAGGCCACAAGATGGCGCTCCTTATTACTCGCTTGAACTTATAGACATGAATGTTGATGTTTGCAATGAATATTTGCCATGTGCCTATCAATGAGTGAGACCGGCGGTTGGACGTTGTTCAATGCTCCATAGTGAATACCATCGTCAGGTCGGCCACCGCCTGATAACGACACCAGATGCAGTCATGATGTCTAGGCCATGCACATGTCGGCTTACATGGCCTTCCCCATGGGCATCTAACGTGATCTTCGGGAGCCGAGCGGGAAGATAAACGGGGCCCCGTGAAGTATCCTGCTGGTACCACAGAGGTTGCTAGAAGTACCGTTGGTGTCTGTGTACCTAGGTATCTTGTCCTTGCAATTGTCAACGTCTGGTCTTCATCCCATATTTCATCACGTGGCTCCATCATGAGAATGTTGGAGAGATAAGATAAGTGTGTGGTGGGTGGTCACATGACGACCCTCATACGGCGGAATTGGCACCGGTCCTGGCGGAAAAGGCTTGGCGCTGGTGGGTGGATTTTGACGTTGGTCCGGCTTGTGCTTGCTTGAACGAGGACGACCGACGAGACGAGACGTGAACGGCGGGCTGCTGTATCCCTCTTTGACTGTACTTGAGCGCATTTATACACCATTGATGGTAAGATCAACCATTGCTGTCCTTGAAGAGCCTATTCTCATACGACAATTACTCCAGATATAGCACGCAAACACGAACCTCACCTCCGAAAACCGTCTCTACGAAACCTCCTACTTCTCAACGACAAGAAGAATTCACAATGTCCTACTTCCGAATCACCCTCCACCGATCCGCCATCGGTCTCCCCGAGCGGACACGCGGCGTCCTAGCGGCCCTGGGCCTGCGCCGCCGCATGCAGACCGTCTTCCACCCGGTGCACCCCCAGTTCGCCGGTATGATCCTCAAGGTCAAGGAGCTGGTGCGCGTCCAGGAGGTGGACCGCCCGATGAACAAGCAGCAGCTCAAGGCGACGCGGACGCCGGATAAGGGGTTCTATATCGAGAAGGCTGTGCCGCGGATGTGAGGGATACCAAGAAGTGAGGGCAAGAGGGGAATGATGCGAGGGAAGGGGAAAAAGAACAGAGACTAGGATTGTACCATACTGTAACGACATTCTGTACAAAAGACAGAGCTGACGATGTGATGTTGGCTCTGTAGGGAGAATAGAATCACGACAAATCACAATGTGTGAAAGATTACAACACGATCACGACTTGATGTAGCCTGTGCCTGAGTAAACTTGAGCACATTCGGGCATAAGGAGTCAATCCCAAGCAGAACAGAGACATGTTGAAACAAGGTATTATTACGAAAGCTTCCAATTATCCTACACCACCCAACCTCTACCTATCTCGACCGAATTCCTGTATTGCTCCCCAAAAGAGGCCGTGACAAAGGCCCAAAGTTCCTCTCCTGTTATGTGTAGCTCAAATCTCGTGGTCAAGCCTGTTCAGTTCATCCTGTACCTAGACGTGGGAGAAACCGAAGCAAGCTAGCAAAAGCAGTTATTCCCCCTGAAGCGTAGTGATCAAGGTCGGGTTACTGCTTCGCAAAGATGGTCCCGAGGCGTGCCGGGTTTAGAAGCTGCGAGCCTTGTCGATGTAGTCCTGAGAAGGGGTCTCGTACTCGCTGACAAAGTAGTTCTCGCAGTTGCGGCCAAGCCAGACGTTGAACTTGCCAATCTCCTCCCGGAGACGCGAAACGGACTGTTGATCCATGTTGGTTTGCGCAAGAAGTTCAGGGAGGGACACTGTACAAAAGTCAATCAGTCATTGTGCGTGATGAAGTGCAAGAGTGTGTCGCTTACCGATCAGACGAGCGAGATGTTCGGCGCCGTAGACATCGCAGACGGTCTTGGCCGCAGACTCGGACTCTGCATTCTCCCACATTTTGCGGAGGTCCATGAACTGGTGGCGCTCGAATCTGAACACTCATTAGCCATGCGATTTCTCTTGACAGACAGGGAACGAAACGTACCGGTACAGGAGAATCCTGCTAAGCGCCTTCTCAAAGTACTCACGGAATCCAGCAACGACCTCTTCCAGAATGTCCATGCTGGAGGATCCTTCTTCTCGGTGGGGTCGCTCATGGGCCAGATAGTCGTCCAGAATCTTGTTCACCGGCTTAGAGTGAGGAAGGGGGACGAGCTGGTTGTTCTTGGTGATGTTCTCCCAGTCGTCGACCAGCATCGCCTGAATATGGTCGGGTATCGGGATGTTGATCATGGGCTTGTTGTGAAAGGAGTCCTCCTATTGAATAGTTAGCGGAGCACATGGCGGAGGTCAAGCGATGGAAGCAAAGGCAGAAAAAGAACCAGAGGGTGTGTGAAGGCAGGGCAACATAAAAGTCAAAGGCGATTAGGGTGGTGTGTATCTACCGTCTCAAGAGCCTCGAGGGATTCAAGGGGAGGAGGCGACGGCTGCTTTGGTTTGGCCCGAGACTTGGGCGACCTGGAGGCTGTCGAGCGACGCTTCCTGGATGTCGTGGTCGTGACATCGATATTCAGGGGGCTGCTTTTCCTGGGCTCCTTGACATAACGGTGGTTGGGGGGCGGGAGACAGGTGAGATGATCAAAGGGCTCGCGAAGCCTGGCGATTCTCACTCTCTTTCGCCCACGGCTGCCGCTGGACAGAGAAGAGCAGGGAGAGGGAGTGGACTCGGGCGAGGAAGTCATTTCTGGAGAGCCTCGAGCATTTGATATCGGGAAAACCTGCCGAGCAGGAGGAGGGCGAACAAGAGTCATTGTGTTGAATCGCCGGGGTAGAAATGCGTGTGCAGATGAGGATGCAAAAGAAGGAGATAATCCGCAGGAGAGAGAAGTGTGAAGAATATTGGGAGGGGAGAAGAGGTCAAGCAGGTGCCTGGATGAAAAGAAAAATGATTTGGCGGGGAAAATGATATGAAGTAGGCAGTTCTGCAAGATGCAGGATCGAATTTACCTATTTGAGGTGGGCAAAAACTGAGGTGCGAGGCGAGGCGAGGCGAGGCGATGGATGCGATGCAGTGCAGTGGCAGTTTGATAGGAGGTAGGTAGCCAAAGGTTACAGGTCACGGAGCAGAACAAGCAGCCTTGGACACTGTCACAGCACTTACTGGCTGGCCATGGTTCGTGATAGAGCCGCAATTCTCCCCCGATACTTTCAGAGGGCCAATCTAACTTTAGAGGCCATCACGAGCCAGTCTGCTAGGCTGAAGCTCATCTGTACTCCCTCAAGGCACTTACCAGAGGTATGAGTGTCCTCATGCTGCATCCCACAACTCTGAGGGTGCGCATCAGAGACCTTGTGAGATTACAACAAAATGGCTGAGAAGTAGAAGCAATGCAAAACAAATGGAGACCTTACCTGCTCAAGTTCCCAGTCCTTTCCGCGTCTGCCTCCTCGGCTTCCTTGGATGGTGGCGGATCCGGATCGCTCTTCACTGACCCTGGCGGATTCCGCACCGCTCCGTAGACCCTTCTTGGGCTGCTTGGCACTTCTCTGCAGGTTATGCTTCAGCTGGGCGCGAAGCTGTGCGGCGAGCTCTTTGTGCTCGTCGTCGAAGGGTCGGATACGGTCAACCAGGACCCAGTCGTCCCAGGTGTTCTTCCACCCTTTGTAGTGCACCTTGTACTTGTACCCGTCCCCGGGCTTCTCACCGGCCTGCACGTCCATGATCTTGGCTTCGTAGAGCATGTCCATGTGAAAGCAGAGGACTTTTTCGTCCTTGCTGAATGGGGGCGGCGCCGGCTGTTGTCTAGCAGGGGCCATGATTCTGGCTGGCTAAAGGAGCCCAGAACTGATGCTGTAGATGCGCAGAAGTGAGAAGATAATGGTTCAGGGGTATATAGACCAGTTGAAATGCTGCGTATGATAAAGCCTCGTGATTTGGTTGCAGGCGTTGATAGTTCCAAGGTCCAGACGGGGATGTTGAGACTGGACGGATGCAGTACAGTGTTTTCCTGCCCAGGGACACAGTAGGTCGCGTTAATGGGACAATGCCCGGGCCTTTTTTGATTGACGCGACGCGCCTGGGACTCCTGCATTGGCTTGGCTGGTGCGATAAGATAAGCCTCCACCTCTAACCAGTCCGTGGGGTCGCCCCTTGAACATTTGGAGTGACTGTGATTCAGTAAATGGAGAGTCGCCCTTGTAAACCATCTACAATCACCCTTAACTCGGGTCCCTTTCCATGGCCAATTTGCCCCAGCATCTTCTGCCTCTGTTCATCAAGCAGCTCTTCATTGTGGCTGGCCCTTCAAAACCACATCAATAACCCAATCTGGCCTTTCAGCGGCGCCTCTTGAGCATTTCAGCTGACCGGCCCAACAGAAGGCCGGATATATGGCCAAGACCTCTAAAAAGTCCGTAGAGAGCATTCACTAATAATAAGATTTGATGCTTATGGTGCCCTATGGTATGTAAGTCACATATCCACTGTCACTAATAGTCATATGGTCCAGCCTGGACCAGGTTTGTAGGGGGTTGCGTATGTTGATGGAGACTTCAGCACTCTTTGAACACCCAAACTTGCCGCCTTCAAACATTGGGTCAGCTGGCAAGAATCAGTAGGCGCCCTGATGACTCAAGAGAGCATAAGAACCTTGAGTGTACCCATTTTTGGGACGATTTGATCAAGTGACTTACTGTGTGTGCCAGCCTGCGGAACTTGCGACTCTCCCTGTAAAGGCCAAGCACACAGTCTTTCTGTCTGGTGTCACAGGTTTCTGGTGCCGACCCTCTAGGCCACAATTTACAATCAAGCCCGTCTCATGGGGCTATCTATCTCAGAATGTTGAGATCGTCATCTATCCCAGTACACGTCTTCTCAACCACATCCATGAAGGCGCACAGCCCCCTTGTCACTAGCCATCCACGTCTGAGGATGAACGTGTACCTATCAAAGATCGATCATCTTAGATAAATGCCCCCAGAGGTACTTTTACTACCTTTATCTAGTGGAAGGGCGACCCTGAGAAACAAGTCACTGCTAGTGGATGATGGAAGGTCAGGATGCATGGCTTGATAGTGTCACTCCAGCATCAACGACTACCCATCAGCATATGAAGCCCTGAACTGAAGCGTCCCTGAGATGGACCTGATGCTCGCTCGGATAGAAATTGTTGGCATTGTTAGTAGCGGTAATGCGAGCAGATCCCTACTGCATCTACCGCCAAGCTTCGAGTAGACGTGATTAGCGATCAGGCCATGTGCAGTCGAATTGGAGATCAACGGGCCACTTATATATTTTGTAGATAGACAAAACTTTAGAAATAGAAGAGGGCTGCTAATTGGTCCTTAGCTTGCTACTTTCCAGATGCCAATCTAGAAACGAAATCTTGAGTTGACATTGAATCCATGATAATAGCAGACAGTGCACAGTAACAGCATGAACACTGTATGTTGAATTGCGATTAGTGGAGACGAGCACTTAACGCGTCTTCTGTCATTGTCGACGCGTCTGCAACTTTCTGGCAATACATGATCAATCTATGATCACAGCCATTGGTACTATTGTTTCCTCTTGCCATTGTAATACTACCTTTTCGACCCCTTGTAGACGCTCAATTATCGACCCTGCAAAAATGGCGCCCACCGAAACCGAGATTCTCGCCAACTACCTCATCCAGCCGTCGGCTCTCACCGCCATCACGACTCTAGAGCAGTTCAAGGCGCTGTTCCCTCGGCCGTTGCAGTCGGCACCTCTCGTCCGAGCGCTCTTTCGAGACCTACAATCCCAACGTACAGCGCTCCTCGACGAGGTCGCAGAGAACATTGCCGATGAGGCCAAGCGGGGAGTCAGCATGCGCCGCCAGGTTGTGCGGGCCAAGAGAGAAGCGGAGCGCGAGGATATGGATGCAGAGATTGAAATGGAACGAGCGGTGTGTTTCATCATTCCCCAACACAAACAATATTTGCTTCTCGGGAACTAACATAGGTTTCGTACAGCTCTTTGGCGAAGCATCAGGTGCTGCGAGCGCCAAGCATACCCTCGCGTCCGTTATCCCCGAATTAGAGGGAGCAGCTGGAGCACTCGAGGCCGAAATCGAAAAGTTGAAAGAGGAGGAGGCTGCGCTTCTCGAGTCAGTACAACAGACGATCGGCGCACTCAGCGATCTACGATATGGCAAGTTCGCCAACGGTCAAATCAGCGAGGACATCATCGACGGCCTCAAGAACGTGGAAGCAGCTTGCCAAAACAAATCTTGAAGCGATTGAGGTTCTACCATGTCCCTCTACAACTAACGCTACAAGAAACAAAACAGCCAACCCTTGTCGTGACGGTTCATATCAGAATTCTCGTATTATTGAGCGATAGTACCCCCGGCATTCGCTCATGGCATAAAACATCTTCAGATACCCATCATTCATTAACACCAATCCCTAAAGCCTCTCCCACTTATTGGCGTTGAGGAGCAGCACCGCCCTGGGGACGACCGGCCACATCAGGAGCCATGCGGCGGTTCCTATTCTATATCAGCATCAAAGTCACCATTGCTGGGTTTGGAAACTCACATCATGGTTCGGCTGCCGAAGGAGACGAGAAGCATGAACAGCCAGTTGGGGATCAGGCCGAAAGCCCACATGACGTAGCCGAAGGGAACGGCGAGACCGGTCTCGGCGGCCTTGCCGTTGAAGGGGTGGAACCAGCCATCAACGAGGATGAAGTCCGACTTGTCGCCAGAGGCCTGGAGGGCGACCAGGTCGTCAGAGGTGGTGGTGGTCAGGTTGAGCCTCTTCTTGTAAATCTCGACGGGCGCAGGCTCAGGCAGAAGGTCAAAGATGTAGAGGCTGGCGGGACCAGTGGACCACGCATTGCACAGGATGGGCTGGTTATCGCAGTTCAGATAGGCCATGTGAGGGCTGTTCTCGAGAAGCGCGAACTTGGCTGCGGTCTCGTTGAAGGCCTGCTCGACGGTTCCGCATCGGCCTATGCTTGCGTGTTAGCTACTTTATCTATCGCAGCATGTCGCAAAGCGCATTGCGCATCACAAAGAATCAAACATACCGTAGCACGTCTTGTTTCCGCCAGAAATCAACAACCACCACTCCTCGGGGGTTGTGGCATCAGCAGCGACAGGCTCGTAGAGGGTCTGCTTCCAGTTCTCGAGGGTCAGGATGTCGAGTTTCATGGCGCCAGCCTTGGCCTCGGCCGCAGCGATGGGATCATGGTGGCCTGGGTTGGGAATGTAGCCGCCAAGCTGGCCGAGGAAGTCCTGGAACTGAGCCTTGTACTGGTCGACGGGAGAGTCCTGAGCGGCAGCGAGAGCGGGCAGAGCCGTGAGGATAGTGGAAGAGGAGAAGCGCATGATGGAGAACTGGATGATTATGACCCTGATTAGGTACGGCGCGTGCTATCGACGTCTGGGGAGATGGACAGGAGCAGGAGAGGTATGAAAGGAGAAGAATGAAAGGGAGAGCAATCTAATGGACAAGCCAAGAAGGAAGACAAGTGATGGAAGATGAACAGGTTCCGGTGGAGATGACGGGTTGGATAAAAGCCCCGGTGAAATTGGATTGCGCGGGAAAAAAGCTGGACCCTTGTATCGTTGGGGATAGATGCTTGCTACCCTTACTGTCTAGGGACTCTACGGCGTAGCTAGTTTGTAGGTAGTCGACAATGAACCATGACGGCGCCCATGATGCGATTCTGTTCCCCAGCCTTCCATGGATGGATTGTCCAAATGGACACGGTTTCTCCCACTGGAATAACCGATTCGACAATGTTGAACTGCCAGCTCGAGCAGCCAATCGGTAAAAGCACAATGCACATGCCTCGGAATTAGGAAACCAATCGTCCAGCCCGTCAAAGGCACAGTAGCTCCGCTGCACTGCGAGCGCACGCCCAGATGCTGCAACTCCCCGCGAGAAGGCGGTGATGCCACCTGTTGGATACCTACCTACTGTGCTGTACATACAACAGTTCCAGTTCCTCCAACGTGCTTTAGCGCCAGCCAGAACCAGCTCCAGGGAGCTGGACAATCCTGGTCCTCCCCACAGGACAGCGGAAAGGGCCCCATTGTAATCAGGCCCAACAAAGCCTCGGAAACAGGACGGGACTGTGAGACGGGAACCAGCAGAGAGAGTGTCAGTGTCGAACAAAAAGTGGGCGGTCCGACGTTTCTTCCGGGGGAGCTCGGCGCGGCGCGTCTCAGACCTCCTGCCTGCCAGTTCTGACGTGAACATTCACGGACTGCGGCCGATTGAAACTTTCATCAAGGCTGCGGTCTTCGTGTATACTCGAGTCCTCCAATTTGCTTTCCGAAACCTATTTATTTGTCGCATCCCAATATTCTTCTCCCCCAGCGCCTGGGCATATACATTTCCTAGCAGCAGAGAGCCCGTCGAATTGCCTATTTCGGGCATCACCAACCACCACCATCATGAACCCTCAGATGGGCCAGCAAGGCCAAGGCCAACAGCCTCAGGGCCAGCAGCCCCAGGGACAGCCGCCGCCCATGTACAAGCCGGCCCAGATTCGAAACCTGCCCACACTTAGCGACGAGGAGAAGTCCAAATACGAGCAGGGCCTCCAAGGTCTATGGAACAAGGCCGAAGGTTCACCTCCGAACAGCCCGGAGAATATCGCTGCGCGACAGAAGATCATCGAGTTCTCTAAGAAATTGATCACGAAGATCCAACAGCGCCGGGCCGCACAGCATCGTATGCAGATGCAGTTGCAGCAGCAACAGCAACAAGGTCAAACCCAGCAGCAACCTCAAGGTCAGAATGCGCAACAGCAGCCTCGTCCTCAGGGAGTGCAGCAGGCTGCTGCTGGACAAGCGACACCTCAGTCACAACCCCAACAACAAGCGATGGGCGCCGCCGCAACCCCAGCCGCCAACGCCAGCGCGCCGACACCGAATCCTCAAGCTGCCGCGACCGCTGCGGCCACTACCCAGCCGATGCCGATTCCCGAGCATATCATGAGCCATGTTAACAAGATGAACTTCCAGGCTCCTGCACAACTGGCCGAGAGGTCTGGAGCCAGCGCTACTAGGTGGGTTGAGGAGATTAAGGAACGATACGGTCGCGCCCTTATGACCATGGAGAGCAGCAAGCAGCGGGTGGCGCAGATTGATAAAATCATCAACGACCGAAATCAGGCCGGAAATCCATTCAGCGAAGAGGAGATGAGGCAACTACAAATTAGGAAAGAACGCCAGCTCAAGTCACACGCAGACGCCCATAAGTGGGTTGACAGTGTTCGCAAGCAGCAGACCAACCTCCAAGGTTCTATCCAGGCACAGGCAGCCACTCCTGCCCAACAAGCCGGTCAACAAGCTGCTGCTGCCCAGGCTCAGGCTCAGGCTCAGGCTCAGACACAGGCTACCGCACAAGCACAAGCGCACGCACAGGCACAAGCTCAAGCCCAGGCACAAGCTCAGGCTCAGGCGGCTCAAGCAGCACAAAATCAAGCGCGAGCCGGTCAAGCCCAAGCCAATCCACAGAACAACGCGCAGACCACTTCTGCGCCTGTGAACGCGGCTATTGAGGCTGCTAAGCATCAAATAGCGGCTGGTCGCGCTTCTCCTGTCAACGGGACGCCAGGTGCTGCGCCAGTGCAACAACAGGTGCGCCCAGCACAAGGCACTCCTCAATCAGCGCAACAACAGCTGCCGCCTCAACAACAACAGCAACAGCAGCAACAACAGCCAGCACCCCCTCAGCCTCAACCTCAGGTCAAACAAGAACCACATACCGCCCCTGCCAATCCCTCGATGGTCGCCGCCGCGAGCCAGAGTCAGACTGGGACTCCTACCCAGAACACTCCCCGAATTCCCACACCTCAGCATGCTGCTGCTGCTGCAGCCGCCGCCGCCGCTCCTGTTACGGCTGGAGGACCGACCCGGGCGCTCAGTCATTCGGCTGCCATGAGTCTCGCAAATCAACGAGCTGCCAGTACTCCCGGCAGTGCCCAAGTGCCTGGCCAACCTACCAATGCTGGAACACCGACACCCGGAAGTGCAGTGAATCAGGGCGTGATGGGGCCTAACGTACCGCAGCAGCCACAACAAGGTCACCCTCACGCTCATCCACCACAGCCTCAGCAAACACCGATGCAGTCTAAAATGCCCATCCCCAAGGTGCTCCCTGAGAAAGCCGTGGCCGTGCCTCAGGGAGTCGCGGTCGGAGGAGGTGTCAACACCGGGCGACCTACAATGTCACAGGGAAGTGGCACACTCGGCGGAGTGATGAATCAACCGGCCATGTCTAGAGTCCCGGCCTACAATCACGAAGCCGAGGGCGACCACGTTTTGAGCAAGAAGAAGTTGGATGAGCTTGTTCGACAAGTTTGCGGAGGCTCTGCCGAGGGTCAGGATGGAAACTTGCTCACCCCCGAGGTGGAAGAGGTAAGCAAATTGACAGTTTGGGCACATCGGATGAAAGCTAACATGGTCCAGAACGTCTTGAACATGGCAGACTCATTTGTAGACAGTGTCCTCCATGCGGCGTGCCGAAACTCGAAGGAACGTGGGTCTAAGATACTCGAGATTCGAGATATCCAGCTTGTGTTGGAGCGCACGTACAACATCCGCGTGCCCGGGTACTCGTCCGATGAGCTCCGCACCGTCCGCAAGATTCAGCCATCAACAGGTTGGATCGCCAAGATGAGTGCCGTCCAAGCGGCCAAGGTCATGCCGGGCAAGGGTGAATGAGGGAGAACACACAAAGTCGAGAAGACCGGAGGATGTTGTTAATGGTTGTGAACTACACGGCTTAGGGGGAGTGTTTTTATGGACTTTGGCGTTGGGCGTATACCCGTATCAAAAGGCGCAAAAGGGTTTTGCGAGCATCGAGAAGGTTACTACATCGATGAGGGAGGTGGTTTATGGCTTAGAAGTGCCCTGTTGAGATGATTCAGATGAGTTCTAGCATAGTATGCAAGAATCTTATTGAGATTGATTGGTTCCCTAAGTTGGCACGTTGGTAGCCCCACGACAGTAACACGAAGGTCCTAGAACTCTGGCCACAGGATCAACTCAGTTCACAGGAGGTCTTCAGGGGAAGACAGCTATTCCCATAGGGGTGTAACAAATCACAGTATTTCGAGTGCCATCATGAGTGCCTTCTTAGCGCTCCATAATTGATGCATTTAGTTGAATTAGAGATACTAATCAGTATCATTGGTAGTCGACAGGACGAAGTTGAAGCTGAAGTTGAATTATCGACAGTGATAGCCAGAATTATGCATCACCAATAACACGTGCATAACTCGCCATTGTTTTTATGCCTCCCAAACTGGAATCGGTTGATTGCGCTGCAGGCAACATCGAAAACGTCACTGCTGAGAGCCCCACAAGGTGCCAGCTTATTAAGGTCCTCGCCCTTGGCCCTGAGACGCCAGGTACTTGACCGGTACCTGCGCTCGCACACAAAGAGCCGCACGTTTCCAGGTACCTCTGAAGCCTGCCGCGTCTCCTCCGCTGCCGCCTCAGTTGCCCACTGGCCAGTCACCAAAGCCCCAGTCCCCATTTGGTGAGCTTGCACCAGCAACCCAGCAGCATCACCTCCATCGAACCTCTGTCAACCTCTCCATCACCAAACTTTGACGACAATCGTTGACTTTACTCCCCCTCAACGACTTCCACCGCGAGCACCGATATCGGTAGTATCATCAGTGCGCTCAGATTCTTCACTTTCAACCTCTCATCGCTGTCTGGTCCTGCTTCCACGCCGCGACGAACCGAAGCGCGCGCACGACTCACGGGACCTTTATCGTATCCCGCTATCGTCATCAGCCTCTGCATCCGGCAGATCTAGCCTCCTGTCCTCACAACACGCACGCCTGAATCCGCCGCCATGCCTGGCAAGACGCCAAACAAAAAGCCCCTCGAGAACGGCGTCCAGAAGAAGGACAGCTCAAAGGCCAAGGGCAAGAAGGCCGCCAAGGACGGTGACGAGGAGATGACGGTGGTTGTCCCTCCCTCCAAGTCCTCGAAAAAGTCGACACAGGCCCCGGCTGATGCTGAGGGCGACGTAGCGATGGACGAGCAGGAGGAGGAGACCAAGGTTGACCCTGTGGTGCAGACAGTCGCAGGTGAGCAGCCCACAAGATGGACACTGTGCGTGAAGCAGCAATTGCTAACCTCTACTCCCTGTGCAGATATCAAGAGCAACTTTGCCCTGTTAGACCGCGCTGTTGCCCTCTTCGACGCCAGATTCTCCCTCCGCGCCCTGCGATCCATCTCCATCATCCGCAAGCGCTTGACTCCCGACATTATTGCCCAGGTCATTTCCGAGACCTTCCCCGCGACCTCTAGCTCTGTAGATAGCGCCAAGCAGCTCCTGGCCGCTATCGAGCGTGAGAATGTCCCTCTGGGACGACAGGCTGGATCAGAGATGGATATCGACGAGCCCAAGACAACCCCCAAGAACGGTTCCAAGAAGGAGAAGGAGAACAAGGACATTATTCCCGAGATCGACATCTTCCTCGGCATCCTTGTCCAGGTCTACCTCTTCGACTCGAAGCAGTTCCAGCGCGGAGCCGACTTCTCCAAGTACCTGTCGGAACGGATCCAGTCCCTCAACCGCCGCACTCTCGACTCGCTGTCGGCCAAGGTCTACTTCTACTACTCCATCTTTTGCGAGCACATTGCTCCTCTGCCCCCATCTCCCCATTCTCCTGTAGTCGCCATTCGGCCGACTCTCCTGGCCGCCCTCCGAACTGCTGTGCTACGAAAGGACGTCGACACACAAGCTTCGGTGATTGTCTTGCTGCTGCGAAATTACCTCTCGACCTCGCATATCAACCAGGCTGATCTCCTGGTCTCGCACACTCAGTTCCCCGAGAATGCTGTCAACAACCAGGTAGCACGATTCCTCTACTACCTTGGCCGTATCCGAGCCATCCAGCTGCGCTACACTGAGGCGCACGAGCATCTCACTGCGGCGACTCGAAAGGCTCCCTCCAGCAACTGCGCCTTGGGTTTCTCCCAGACAGCGACCAAGCTCTTGTATGTGGTGGAGCTTCTGATGGGAGATATCCCTGACAGGGCCATGTTCCGACAGCCTACCATGGAGATTGCCCTTCACCCCTACTTCCTGCTGGTCAAGTCGGTGAGGGTTGGTAACCTGGAGGACTTTGAGACAACAATTGCGGACCACGCCGACACTTTCCGACGGGATGGTACCTACAGCCTCATCTTGCGTCTCCGACAGAACGTCATCAAGACGGGCATTCGCATGATGTCTCTGTCATACTCTCGCATCTCCCTTCGGGATATCTGCATTCGCCTGCAGCTTGGCAGCGAGGAGTCGGCCGAGTACATTGTGGCCAAGGCGATCCGCGACGGTGTGATTGAGGCTACTCTGGACCGAGAGAGGGGCTTCATGAAGAGCAAGGAGGTTGGCGATGTGTATGCCACCCGTGAGCCGGGTGAGGCGTTCCACGACCGAATCCGAGCGTGTCTATCTCTGCATGATGAGAGTGTCAAGGTTTGTATTCCCCTGTACACTGCAGTATTTTGTGCAACTGAACTAACGGGTGTGTCACCAGGCTATGCGATTCCCCATGAACCAGCACCGGTTGGAGCTCAAGAACGCCCAGGAGGCCCGAGAGCGCGAGCGCGAGATGGCGAAGGAGATACAGGAGGGTGACTTGGATGAGGATGATCTCGGCGGTGACTTTGACGGCATCTAAAGCTTGAGCATCTGCTCTACCATCCATTCACCCTTTGCCATGAGGAATAGGTCCTCTTGGCTGTAGTTTCTACTAATGACCCACCTGACGCCTGGAGAAACGAGGGTTGTCTGTGGGACTTTGGGGGGAGGACAGGAATAGAGGGGAGGTGGGATCTGGAGGGGGGTTTCAAGGGCATATTCGAGACCCTCCATGTGTATTAGATACTTTTGGTAGGGAGATTGGGGGGTGTTGGAATGAGAGCATACATCTACTATTTGTTTCGAGATTTGGTGTTGATGCTGTGTGACATGAGACAAGCACCCACTTCTAGAGAGGCTATGTGCAGCTAGTGAGGATACTTCTTATGAGCTTCCATACCATTCTATCGGTGCCCGTAATCGAATTAACTTTGGATGAGTTGTATCGTGAATGCAGGGAACCGGTGGTGACTCTTACCCTGAACTTTAGCATGGATGCCCAGAGTTGACTTTCACGATGCAGTATAAACCTAGTTTGACATCGGCTACAGGAAAAAATGTATTCGATGATGTTCTATGCTGAGATGGCTAGGACTTTTGGTCTCTTGTCTATTCCATGTGAGGCATCCAATTGATGTCAATATGTGCTGTACAATCACATGACTGACTGCCTTGGGACTTTGGCTATTAGCTCCGCCACCAGCTGCAGACATCAAAACAACATGAAAAGGGAAAAACGTTGCGCAACGCACATGAAAATCCAACCCTTGATCCCTGTAAAATCGTCAAATAAGCCTTTGGTGTTTTGACATAGATCTGTCAATGTCTACGCCCTTCCATCGACATCCCGTGGGCTAGTGCGGCTGCTGCCTTGCATGGAGGCTGACAACCACCAAAGGGCTCCGCCATTCGACGGGGTAACAACACCACACTCCCAGTCTAATCCCGGACTACATCACGACGGGCCATCGAACCCTCGAAAGATCAGACCTTTTACAGGTAGATCCTCAAGCGAATGATAACTCTTACACCCTGGAGGACCAGTGGATACATGCGCCTACAGGGGGGGTGAGAGATGCAAAGAAACACCCCAACAACATAGGCCTACCGAGGATATGCTTCTTGAATTGACTCATTCGGTATGTGAGCTTTCCCTGCTGTTTGTTTACTTTACTTGTGACCACGCCCTGCGCCTGACATAACATTGACATGCTGCATCTCGGCAGACAAGAGTCCCTTGTTTTAACTCTGGTCTCCACCCGTAGGGCTGTGAAGCAGTGTCACTCAGACGGGCTGTGCCTGGTATATAAGAGTCCACGGGAGCCGCAGCAATCGAGAGCATCTCTCACAGACAACTTCTTCCTTACGAAACTAAACCCGAGGTTTTCAGGTAAACCACAGGATCACACAGCGCGCACACTAGCTACCATGGCCACCGCTACCGAGTTGCGGCCGATTGAGCCGCCTGCTTTTACAATACCCAAAACAAAACCTCCAACCGTATATCACGACGTGGTCGACACGGAGCAGGCAATTCACCTCGCCGGCCTCTGCCGCAAGAGCCTCGTTGACCTTCAAGTCCATCTTCCCGACTTTGACCCGTCTCATCCTTTCACCGCTGATGAGATCATCGCCCTACCCCTGGACAAGTACCGTATCGACGATGCTCTTCACGATCTTCCTCGACGTAAATCCGCCCGGCACAATCTGGCCTGCGCTATCGCTCCGCTCGTGTACCCAGTACACGAGGGTTCATTGACAGCCATCATTCGCTATGATGCGGACCGCGTTCACCTTCGTGCCTGGGCTGTCCTTCAGCGAAAATACGACCTGCTCAAAGCCACTATTCGCAACGGCCACACCGCCAATGGCTTGACCGGTGGTGTTGGCCCGGGTGTCAACGCCCCCGTCTGGTCTTCTCGCATCACTGCCCAGGGCGCCTGGGACCCGGCCAAGCACCCAGTCTCGCTCGACGGCGTGCCTGCTATTCCCATGCCTGTCCAGATCGCCCACGAGGCTGATCTCGAGCCGTTCCTGAGCCACCTTGAGCACGGTGGTACTTCTGAACTCAATGGTAACACCCAAGGCTTCGAGCTCGACGAGGGACGAGGCGAGCCTTACTACGGTGTTAAAGGCGCCGAGTTCCGCAAAGGTGTCGTGTACGAGGATGGCCGAATGGATCTCTGCAAAATGGTTGTTGGCCCCGACCATATTGGTAAATTGATGGACAGCTTGCGACCCAATGAATTTGTCCGACACTTCCTGCTGGGCAATAATATCATTGGCCCCGTTGGTGCTCATGAGATTGCCAACTTCATCGAGGAGTTCCCTGACCGTATGGACACTTGGTACCTTGCAGGCAATTGCATCAATGGGGCTAGCTTCAAGATCCTCGTGGATGCCATGATTAAATCCGAGGCCGTCACCAATATCTGGTTGAAACGCAACCCGCTTGGCGCAGACGCCGCCGAGGACGTCTATCGTCTCATCACTGGAGTCAAGAATCTGCGGACTCTTGACCTTGACCAGACCGAGCTCGGAAATCGAGGTGTCACTCACCTCTTTGATCGTCTGGCTACACACGCCATGCCCGAGGGTACCAAACTCCCACTGAAGCATCTCTACCTCAATGGTAACGGCATCTCGACTGAGGCCGCTCAGGCTCTTGGCAGGTTCCTGATGTCGCCACACTGCGGCGTGACATCCATCTACATATCCTCCAACCCACTTGGCGATGGAGGCATAGAGGCTATTGCAGCTGCACTGCCCAAGGCACCGTATCTGGCTCGACTGCTCTTACAGTCGGTTGGAGTCAGCACCAAAGGTGCCATTGCGCTCTGCAAGGCTGCTACCGGCCACCCGAACCTCGAGGTCATTGACCTTGGCCAGGCGTATGTGACTCATGATCTTGGTCAGGCTTACAACTTCATCGAGGATGAGGCCGTGCCCGCCATCAAGGAGCTCATCGAGGCCAAGAGCCGCCTGGCGTACCTCAACTTTGGTTACTCCCCCATCTCGCCGCCAGGACTCAAGACCTTGTCCGAGGCAGTCCTCCAGAACTCGACACTCGTGTGGTATACGGCCTACTCAGTCCTGCCGGACCCAGAGCGCCTGGCAGCCACCTTTACGCCAAAGGTCGACACCCGTTTCGCCAACCCTGCCGAGCGCAGCCACGCGCACATGGAGCTGGACAAGGCCGTCCGCAATCACCTCGCAGAGAATGTCAAGGCACGATACGGCGAGGGCACATCGTACAACCGGTTCCAGGAGGAGGAGCGACGCTGGCTCACCAGTGACAAAACCGACGTGCGCAAAATCGATAGTGTGTACCGTAACCGTGACGCTGGACTCGCCCGTCGCCGGCTGATGACTCTGATCAAAAACTGGGAGGAGGGTGATGAGACTCTTGACCGTGTCATGGCTGCCCATGCGCCAACCTGCTCGCTGCGCCGACACTAAATGGAGAGCGGTTGTTTTGCTGGTTGAACTCGTTCTTGTTGTTTTTCTTTTTTGATAGCTCGATAATTCCAGAATGAATCAGATTGCCATTATGAATCGTTTTGTGACGTACTCATGCTGTTGAATGCTACTTCGAGACTCCTCGTTTTTGGTAATGGAATGTTCAACACCAGGACCAGAATCTCAGTTCCTAACTTACAGCGGCCACCGGCACGTGACAGCGCACCGGCGCTCCTGCCCCCGCGTCGCGGCGCGGCGCATCTGCCCATTCTAAAATCTTGCCATGGCGCGACTCGACTCTTTTAACTTTTCCCATGCTTGATGAGGAATTGAACTGTATTAATCGTGTAGGCGCAAGATTAGGGAAACTTCACCAATCGCTACAACCTCCCAAAAAGAGAAAATAAGCTCGGCGCATTCGGAATCCTTCGGCGTTGCATGCTCACTAATACGACTCGACCAAACTCACACACACGCACACACACACTCTGTCTCTCGTACGAATAGAACAATACACACACCGGCTGAGCGTCGCACAGTGAGCGATGCCTCAGAAGCGCAAGCGACAAGACGAAGACCCCGCTCCTCCTCCCCAGCCTCAGTCCCAACCCCAACCTCAACCTCCTTCCGCCGGGGCGCGTCGGGCGACGCGTCAAACTCCGGTCCAACCCCCACGAGTTCCACCAGCAGCAACTGCAACAACTTCAGCGCAACCACCAGCAAAACAGACTGCCGTCCCGCCTCCCGTAATACCACCGTCTACAACTCTGCGATGGGCTCCGCTTGAACAGCCAGGCCCGGCCGTAAGGCATAACCCGCAAGCTATGACGAGCGTCCAGACGCCGAGAGCTGGCCGACCGCCTTCGGACTTGGTTGCGCCTGAGATTACATATCATGTACCTCAAACGCATATCAGCCCGTCGCACCGCCCTTCAGCGCTCGTGCGTCCTCATGGCCCAACAGCACAGCCGCCGCGCATCCTCGAGCGACCGCCGCCTCCGACAGTGACTCCCGTCTTCCCGCCAAAGCCTCCAGCGTCGTCCCCTTCACGGCCTCCGCTGCGAACCGACCGCAATATTGATAAGGTGGTGTTGGGTAATATCGTTTTCCGCACATGGTACCCTAGCTATTACGGAAAGGAGGTACTTGGGGACTCCTCTGGTACGGCAGGAAAGGGAGGGAGCAAGGACACTGGAGCCAAAGATCAGGCTTCAGGCGGCAAGTCTTCATCTAGACGGGATCGCGATCACCCGCCTGTGCTCGATCGTTTACACGTCTGCCCCAGCTGCTTCAAGTATTCCAAGGAGGTTATACCATGGCGGGGTCACGTTCAGGTGTGTGAGCGGCGAGCCCATGTGCCAGGGCGCAAGATCTACGTTCATCCACAAGGTCGGAGAAAGGTACTTGTGCCGCAAGAGGCCAGATCAACCGGACCCAAGAGGCGGAGAGGAGAGGGTAACATACGTTATGTCGAAGAGATTGTTCAGGACGAGGGAGAATGGAGCATCTGGGAGGTGGACGGCGAGACGGACGGGGTAAGTCAACGAGAAGGTTACATTATGTCGAGGATGATGAGGCTGATACTTGTTCCCAGCTCTTTTGCCAGAACCTGTCCCTCTTTGCAAAGCTCTTTCTCGACAACAAGTCCGTCTTCTTCGACGTTACCGGCTTCAACTATTTCTTGCTCGTTTATACGCCTCCGGCCAAACCCTCGTCGACTGGGAACGCCCTAGGCATCGGCCCCGCTACCACGTCGACCGAAGACGAGCCCCCGACGCCGCGCATTACAGGCTTCTTTTCCAAGGAGAAGATGTCGTGGGACAATAACAACCTCGCCTGTATCCTGAT